CTCACGGAAACCCAGCTGAGGTGTTTCCAGCGCTTGGCTTCGCAGTACGCTTCAGAAAGATTTGTAAAAATGAAACGTTGCGGCTGTTGGGGATACCACCGAAGCTTATTTTCATTTCCATAATTCTGTCGGTGACCATAGATGCATTGCAACTGCTACAATGCAGCACAATGCATTACAGAACAGTACTCAGTACAGAATGCTAATACATACTGACAGATGCATTCAGAAATACCAATAGGAAACAAAGGTATTTGCTAACCTCTGAATCTATACATGCGTGGACATGCATGCACAGTGGACATGCGTGCGCGGACACACACACACACACAGTGGTCAGGGGTGTGAAACTCCTGCTCACCTATGGCCACTTGGCTCAAGAACATTCAAGAACCCTTTACTGCAGTCCGCCATTCACACAAACGTGCGCGATGCCACAAACTGCTAATCCAGTTGATACGGTGAGGGACATCACATGATTTCACTTCAACATCACAATCAGAGATTTATAGTGCAACAACCCTTGGGAATTCTTGATTCACACAGATTCACACAGTATATGTATATATATATTATATATATAAACGATATATATATATATATATATATACACACACACCTACATTCACAACTACGTATCTAACTATTGCATGCCCATTCACAGTGCAAGTAGTGCTGCCCGTTTGCTGGATCGAAAGAAGGTTTTATTTTGCAGGTACAGTAGAAAATAAAGTATTTCAGATGAATAGATTGGGGTAGGGGTTGGGGGTTACACATACCTCCATCTAACATGATCTATGATGCGTTCTTGCGTCAACACATCATTCTACATTATTGCGAAAACACTTGAGTGGCTGACGTGAACACTGCCTGAGGCTGCTTCGATGCGCGGATTGGATTTGTCATCATTTTGCGATTTCGGACATTTTCAGAAGGCAGTGCTGTTGCCTTCCAGCTGGTGTTCCAGAATCTTGTTGCATGTGCATGTCCTACAGTCTTTTCATGTTGAATGATTTTGACAACTACAGGATGCAGGATTGTTGGCCTGTACAAGCCTCGTGAATGCCGTTTTCGTGGCTTTGGCACAGTTAGCAGTTAGCCTCGGACTTGATGTATACTATCAAGTCACTGCCAAAAGAGTCAATTGTCATTTAAAAAGATATAAAAACACTTTCGTTTTGGTGAGTCAAGCCATCTTGTTGGCTCTTTTGCTGAACGCATCGAAGGTACCCATGCACTTCTATGGCGCAGTTGGATCACTTCGAGTCATCGAAAGTTTGGCAGCGCGTGCTTGGCAAGAGCTTGCCGAGGCGTATCATTCATTCCATTGATTTGGTACGGAATTTGCACCTGTTTTTAGTCAGTGTTCAACCAACAACATGGTTCGGGTTCCAACTTGCACAGATTTTGTTCTTGTGGCAATAGCAATTCCAAGTTAACTTGACACAAAGAGTTATTGCTGTTAAGTTAATGCTGTCTAGGTGCATGCAAGTGCAGTTCCCTTGATGGGTTAGACAGTTAGACCCAGTTTTCAGGCTGCAAGGTTCTTTGCGTGCTTGTACATGCATTTAAGGCGTGGTCCTAATCTGGGTAGTTTTGAAGTCTTGCATGCTGTGGGCTGTGGGTGTGCCCTTTGTTAAATCTAAGGAGGGCATTTGGAACTGTTCTCCCAATATTGCCAGACCTTGGCTTGTGTCATTTGATGTATGTAATGTTGCCGTTTCCATAGAGTTGCCTCCTCTTTCCCAGATATTGCTTCGTGGGTGCTGTTCTTGTTGCAATTGGAGCGGTTCTGTTGCATTTTTCCGTAGTCCCATCGAGGTTTTGGACCACTGTCGCCCACAATTTTTTGCTGTCAATTGTCGTTGCGCTACGTTGCGCTTCCAATGTTGTTCTTTGCTCCTGTTGCTCCTGTTGCTCCTGTTGCTCCTGTTCTTTGCTCCTTGTGCTTGACTGGTGTCCTCGTTGAGATATTGGTCGTTGGCCATCAAGATCAGTGCGATTCGTGTTTTCCAAGCTTACTCAGAGTGCCATTCTGTGGACCGTTGATTTAGAACAGACGAGATTTCCGCTGACTTGGCTCTTGAATCCATCAGTTTTCGAAGTAGTTTCACATCCTTGAAAGCGTTGTAGCACCAAACTTTGCCTTTGATATTGCCTTTGATACCACAGGCTACAGGGTCATGTCTGCAAGTTTTTAGTCAAGGTAGGCAGAGCTTCCTGAACTTGACACCAGATAAAGGAAGAATCAACTGTAGAGAATGCATGTGATTCCTCAATACTTGACAAGTTCCAGAATGTCGACTGATGATACACATGTACGTACAAAGTTTATGTGAAGCAGACGTTCACAGGGTGCGTTGCCTGTGGGTCCAAGTTTGGTAAACTATATTGAAGAGAACCAAACTTGCATTGATTTCTGGAGCACCCTCGACAGTGCGTCTTGTCAGGGTTGCAATGCACTGCCTTCCAAAACAAAGGCACCAAAGTGGTCAAAGTGGTCCAGGTAGTCAAAGTGATGGTTAAAGCGTGTTATTTCTGCGTATTCACAGTAGTACTCAGTAGTACTCAGTGCATTCATTCCTTTTCAGGTGTGTATAGACTTTGTGCCTGTTGTTGGCTACGTGCATGAACTTTGTGCCTCTTGTTGGCTGTGGAGCCGAGTGTAGCCTCTAAACTCAAAGCGCTTTGCCGCTTTTGAAATTTTTGAAGTTGTGCAGCCTTTTGTGCCAGGACGATCTTGGAAAGACAACTGAGACAACTGAGACAGAGATGACCGAGGAGGTTTTCACCAAGAACTTGATCTCCTTGGCCACAGCTCTCGCAGCAGCTTTTGATTTGGCTGTCACTTTCTATTTGATTTGGCATCTCACTGGCCCTGGCCTCGCTCACCCCTGGATGTCACTTCCTCAGCACATCAGGTTGCCTCTGTAATCAAAAACAAATGGGTTTCTTGCATCTATTTTTTCTAATTTATTTACATTTAAAGGCCTGTGCGCCGCAGGCGTTGATCATTCGCTTTGTGTTGAAAACTTGGAACTGACATTTGCAGGTCAGGACAACCGGCAGCTCCGCTTGAACCTGGAGAGCAAAAAAGGAGTCGTTCGAACTGCTTTCTGACACGATTTTTGTGTGTCAAACGTTGAGACTTTTGCAGGGTAGAATTAAAGCCAGATACGCAGCCACGTGTAAGGATCTCGGAGGCAAAAGCCAGAAATAGACGCAATGCCAGATTTTAACAACGTGAAACTGACTGCTTTAAATTTCGAAACGTGTTTGAAAAGAGAGTCATGACTTGCCGGCTGTCCTGAATTTACTCAATAGCTCGCTCATTCATTCAATAAACATACTGACTCAACTTACAGAGTCAACATGCCAACAGACCGAAAGAAATTAAACAATTCTTGCAACTGCTGGACTTGGTACTCGTAAAGTGCAGGTCTGGAAGGAAGAACCCCATAGACTATAGACGGTGTGTTTATGAAGATCAAGTGTGTCGTGATGGTACAGAGGCAGCTCTGAAGAGCGGCGATTTCGTTTTTGCATGTTGCAGAAGTCCAGCTGTTCCATGATAATGGCTACACCAATGTGTTGGGCGAAATCATTGGATTGGCACTGCTATTGTGTTTGGTGACGGCAAGACAGCGTGCGTAGCTCTGATAGCCTTTGCCACTCAATGCCGTGGTCTTCCTGACTTTTGGAACGGCTGCATCCAGGTTTCGTGTCCTGCATAGTGAGCCCCGCTCGAACTCGAACTCGAACTGGAACCCCCCCCCCGGAAAAAAAAACCAAGCTTTCTGAGTCCGGACTCGCGGTCCATATGCTCGAACTCGAGTTCGAACTGGCGGTGACACAGTTCGAACTCGCGTTCGAACTCGCCCCAGAGCAGTTCGAACTCGATTTTGACCTGGCGGCGTCCGCGTCGAACTCGAACTCGAACTCGAACTCGCACCCCCCCCCCCGGGAAAAAAAAACAAGCTTTCTGAGTCCGGACTCGCGGTCCACATGCTCGAACTCGAGTTCGAACTGGCGGTGACACAGTTCGACCTCGCGTTCGAACTCGCCCCAGAGCAGTTCGAACTCGATTTTGACCTGGCGGCGGCCGCGTCGAACTCGAACTCGAACTCGACCCCCCCCCCGGAGGGGGAAAAAAAACCCTTTCCGAGTATGCATTCACGGTCAAGCTCTGAAAGACTGCGAGCTTGTATTTGCACTCCACCATTAAACCCATGTATGATAGTGGCACGCTGACTAGCATTGCGGCTCAGGTAAAAGTAGCTTGTGCGCCGCTAGCTTAACGGTTTTCTTCCCACTTGTTATAGGTTTATCAGTCTATTTGGGTGTAATAGGAATTACCCCTGCTGAAACCTGTAAATACAGGTTATCAGCCGTAGTCTCGTAAAGCCATGGAAAGGACAACTGGTGACACCTCAGGTGGAGGCGCCCTTGTCCCCTCGACTGGAGCAACGGTTGCAACAACTGGTTCACAACAAAGCTTGCCGGCTGGGACAAACCCCACGCCCATGTCAGTGGATGAAGGTTTCTTCACACAGCCCGTGCAAGCATATTTCCAGTTCGTGCAAAACAATCTTACCTACATCAACGAAGGTAACATTGATGCTTTCAGGCAAGAGGCGGAGGAGAGGCACACACATCTCATGGAGCAAAAGGTCCAGCAACTGTACCAAGAGTTTGAGGGAATTTGCCTTAGCGAAATTGCCCAGCAACGTGCAGAAGCTGATCGCAGACATGAACACCTAGTGTCAGAGTATTCAATGTCCCAAACGGCAACTGAGCATGAGGTAGCAAAACTGAGACAGGAACTTAGCGATGCAAACGCAAAGCTGAAGAACGCTGCAAATGCAGTTGCACTGGAAGCTGAGCAAAGAGCCAACCAAAAGGTAGCCCATGTTACAGCCCAGTATGAACAAAGGTTTTCTGAACTCAGAGGTAGCCTCGAGGCAGACTGTAAACGAAGCGTGGACGAAACAGTGGAGTATGCAAAGAATGGCATGGAAGGTTTCAAGAAGGAGGAACAAGCTGTAATTCAGGAGATTAGAGAGGAATGCAGTAGGCAGGAAAACCAAGCTGCTGAACTCAATTTCCAATTGCAGGGACAAGTCGAGGAGTTGATGGAGAAGCTCAACAAGTACAGCGCCCCGGAAATCAGTGTCGACAGAGCCGTCGAAGTTGATGATGCACAAGGCGGTAATAATGTCGATTTGTACATGACCCCAAAATCAGCGGTCGGTACCAAGGCTGGAGCAGAACCCATGCCAAACACTGGTATGAGTAGCTTAGCCATGGACGCTAAAGAAAGATTGAGCAACTTGTTCTCAACTACCCCTGCCGGATCAGCAGCCCCTCCAAAACTTCCACCATTGCCAGTTCAAAGACAAAATGATGATGATGCAAACCAAGAGCATAGTGTACCCAGTCCTACAGTTATAGCAAGCGACCCTGGCAAGAAAGCAGCTGAAGCAGGCTTAGGTCTTTCAGGTCAACAACTGCTAGATCTCATCACTAGACTGACTTATGGTGAAAAGCCCCGAACAAAAGAGGCGGAGACTATCAAACTGAACGACATGCCTGCCCCAGAAGCTTATCGTCACTGGCGTAATCATGTCAGGGATGAAGTGAAATCGTGCTCCGACAAACCCGATGAGGCTTGGCTTTGGCTCAATGAAGTCTTTGACAACAAAACCCCTAGGGAAAAGTTGGAGGAAAAGCTGCAGGATCCTGGGAAGTTTATCACACTTGACACCAACTTGACACCAAATTGTCGGCAGCGTTAACTCGCTCAGCCAAAGGTGATTTAGCGACAAAGATCCATAACTTCAAAGATGAGAAGTCAAAGAATGGGATCCAAGTCAGAGGTAGGAGAGTCCTTCTGATGTTTGAAGATTACTTCAGGACGTCTGAGGAAGCTGGCAGTCTCTACCGCGTCGAGGACCTACTTGGAGTCGTTCGCACTGGAGAATCTGTGGAGGACCTTAGAAGGTTTTTGAACCGATGGGACGCCACAATTGCCGGCATGGAAACCCCACCAGATGATTTGGTTCTCAGAGACATCTTACTCAGACAAATCCGAAAATGTCAATTGATGAAGTATGACATTGAAGCATTCGACAGAGCTCCTGAAAAGTCAGAACAAAAGTCTTATGCATTCTTGTTGAGAAACATTCGTGATCTTTTGGATAGAGAAAGACTCCGTTCAAACAGAAACAGAATCGTTGAAAAGAACAAGCAGACCGAAAAGCCTCAGCCCGCTGCACCCGCTCAGGGGGGCAAAGATCGCGGCAAAGGAAAGGGCGACCGAGGTCGAACCCGTGGCCGTAGCCAGAGTGGAAAAGGGGACAAGATATGCTACAAATTCAGGGATGGCAAATGTGAAAAGGGTAAAGACTGTCCCTACAAGCATGTCAAAGATTCCTCAAGATCTGGTACCCCCAAAAGAAAGGGTAAGGGCAAAGGTGGTAGCAGAAGTGGTTCCCCCAACAGAAAGTCGAAGGAAGAGATGGCCAAGATCCCATGCACTTACTTCCAACAGGGCAAATGTCGTCGTGGTGACAAATGTTTTTACAAACATGAAGTTGCAGCTGCACCCACAAAGGATCCAAAACGCACCAATAGCCCCGCACCAAAGAAGAAGGCCAGTGCAAAAGCTGCGCCATGCATTACTCAAAGGTATGCATGCATAGCAAAGGGAAAAGGGTTGCCAAAAGCTACAAAGGCCATGAAAGAACAATGCCATAGAGCCGTTGTGTTTTCATCAAAAGTGGAATACATCAAAGTCCCAGCAACAGGTGAACAGAGGAAGGTAGTGCACAAACCCCGAATCTATGAGAAAACGTTCCCTGATTCAGAGTCAGTGCCAAAACCCGACAAACTCGTGGCTCACCGTGCCCAGGTTTCGGCCCGGCAGTTGCAGGAACTTGTGAAGCTCTTCGGCAGTGAGACGCAGCCCAAGTGCCGATTCCGATGCAATGACCCAGAAGGGGGAGTATCATGCAACCACTGTAGAGCAATGATCGGTCCCAAGAACAAAGTCAGTAACACTCATTTGCCCACTGTTGCTACACCTGCATCAAAAGATGGATGTGTTTGGTTGGTTGACACGGGCAGTGAACAGGATTTGATCAGTGAGGGTATGCTGAAGACCGCAAAGGCGACAAACCGCCGTATCAGCGATACTCCGATCAGCCTTGCTACAGCAAACGGTTCGACACGAGCGGATGAGGTGGCCGACGTAAAAGTCGATGCCCTACATCAGCCGTTTTCACCATACATTCTTGAGGAAACTCCTGCTGTTCTTTCGGTTGGGGTCAGGTGTATGGAACAGGGTTACAGTTTTGTGTGGCCAGCTGATGGTAGGCCATACTTCATTCGTCCGGACATGGGAGTCATTGAGCTTAACGTAGACGGCCGTGTGCCGGTCATCGATAGCTCTTGTCGTGTTTTGAACAGTGGACAGTTCAAGAAAGATTGTGATCTGTTACGTCTTTTTGCAATGGTTGCGGCAAAAGCAGAAGGTGCCGACGAAGAAGGCGTGGATGAGGGAGTAGCTCATGATAGCGAAACCGAATACGTCAGGTCTAGAAAGGCATCTGACCTTGAGCAAGAGGCATGCAGTAAGTCTCACCAGTTTTGCCATTACCCCAAGAATCCATTTTGCAAGATCTGTCAGAAGGCGCGCATGATGGCGCCACCCGCAAAGAAGAAAGGGGGACAGAAAAGGTTGGAAACCAAAAGTTTTGGGGATCACATTGTCGCTGACCATACTGTAATCAAATCCAATGTGGAAGAAGGCGTCAAAGGTGAAACAGTGGCATTGGTGATGAAGGACATTCACACTCAGTTCAGACACGTCTATCCAAGCCAGACAAAATCGAGTGAATCATGTGTTAATGCGTTCAACCACTTCTTATCTCACAAGGATGAAGTTGGGGCAGTTTACACTGACAATTCACGAGAGCTTATTGCTACAATTTCAGAATTGGGGTACAGACATCAAACATCAACAGAGTATGTGGACAGTTCAAAGTCGTTTGTGGAGAGGGAGATCAGGCACATGCTTGAAGGCACACGCACAAACCTCGTGCAGTCAGGTCTTCCATTGCAGTATTGGCCAATGGCTATGCAGCATTTCTCCATGGCAGTGAATGCCACGCCACAGCTCAACGGTGATGATGCCCCATGGAAACTCAGATTCGAAGAAGATTTTCCAGGTCAGTTGATTCCTTTCGGTGCAAAGATACTGTTTTGGAACAATCCAAAAAGGGTTGACAACACATCTGGAAAGACATCACCAACAGCAAATGATGGAATCTTTTTGGGATACCACATTCAACCTGGTTTTGCATGGAAGGGTGAGTATCTTGTTGCCAAGTTAGAAGCATTGGATTACCACGCAGAAACGGGCAGCATCACAGTGCAGCGTGCACGACGTGTTGAGCTCATCGCGGGAGGTTTTGTCTTCCCACTCCGTGCATTGAAAGAGGCCAAAGAGCCCAAGCCGGACCGCCTAGTCGACAATGTCATTGCTGATCCTCGTCCGATTCCGTTTCAATCCGAATTGCAAACAGAGGAACATGTAGAAGAAAGTGAAGCAGCAATTGACAAGTCAACGGAGGCAGTGCTTGACGCACTTGCCAGTGATGAAAGGCCGGCTGAAGAACCAGTCTTTCCTGATATCAAGTACACTCCAACTGGTACTCCAATCCCGGATGGTTATCATTGGGACGGCACACGCCTTGTGAAAACGTACAAAGGGTCAAAACGCCCTGAGTCGATCCCATCGGATTTTTGGAAAATGCTTAGTCCGAAGGATAGGCAAAAGCTTGTTGAGGAGGAAGCTGAAAAGATGGCTGTAGGCAGCGGTGGTGCTGCATCAAGTTCAGCATCAAAGGGTCCGAAGAAGAAGAAAGGTGCAGTCGCTACTGCAAGAAAGCTTCGGGTAAACCCTAGCCCCTCAGGTGAGCCTAGTGTGTCAACATGGGAGGTCATTCCACAGGATAGACCGAAATTTTGTGTCCCTGCAATGCCGAAAGCGGTTCCAGCAAAACCTGAACTGCATCGCCCGGAATTGAGAGAGATGATCAAGAACAAGATCGCAGAGTTGGAATTCAAAGTGGCTCTTGAATTGTTTTCTGCTGTTGCACGTTTGGTTCCCAAAGATGAGGTTAGGAAAAACCCCAAAGCAAAGGCTGCCTTAGATAAGGAGTGGGAGAACCTCAGGACAAAAGGAGTACGGGACGAATCCAGAGTCAGGGAATGTAAAAGCATTGTTGAGGAAGCCTGCAAGAAAGGGGAAACTGTACATCTTGGTCGTATTTTTGAAGCCTGCTACGAAAAGGGGTCGGAACTTCCAGCTGATGATCCTCGTAGGAAATTCAAGGGCCGTACAGTCTTCCAGGGTAACAATGTCCGCGACCAGGATTCTGACCATGCGTTGTTTGCCGAGTTAGGTAGCAGTCCTGCTTCGATGGAAGCTGCAAAGCTTCTGGACGCGTTTGGTTCTCAGCCCGGATTCTCAAAAGCTCAAGCAGACGCCATCCAAGCTTATATCCAGGCCCTCTTCACTGGGGTGCCCACATGGCTATCATTGCCACGGAACAGATGGCCAGAACACTGGGAAAAGCAATTCTGGCAACCCATGGTTCCTTTGGTTTTAGCTTTGTATGGGCATCCAGACAGCGGCGGTATTTGGGAAAACCACCTCAACAGCAGAATCGGAAAAGAAGGTTGGAAACAAATTCTCCCCGACGTATGGCAAAGTATTTTCTATCATGCTGAGTACAATTGCATGTTGGTTGTTTACGTGGATGATTTCAAACTCGCAGGTCCCACTGAGAACATGGACAAGGCATGGGCAAGTATCAAACGAGCAGTCAACATTGGTGACCCGAACCCTATGATCGATATTTCGGTTGTCAACATGTGGAGTTTAACAATGTTACGCTACCACGAAAAGCTCATCCTTTTGCACATGTTTTTGACTCTCAGGCGGCTGCTGCGGCACGTACACAACATCGAACAAATGATTTTTGGCAACATGACCCCTTCAACAAAACTTGGACAAGGTATCATCTCCAGCCACGGAAGAAGTTGTTCGAGCCTGGCGATGAGGGGGGGGAGTTTGTCAAGTCTTTACATTCAGAACGGGTTACAATGTTCGACAAAAATGTTGAATTCAAAGGTCTCCCAGTTCTCAACATGCATATGTCAGATGAAAGTTCAGCTATTGTTGAAGATGACATGACAGTGGATCAAAAGATTCAGACAAAGGACTTCTGGACAGGAAGGACAATCTTCAGGTATGGTGACGAGTATGGCAACACTAATCAGTTTGCCCTCCCATCAAAGAACAGACCCGGTCCGCACAGAGACAAAAGGGAAGCCAAGAATGAGAAGAAATCTCAACGGTTCAAAAGCATTGAGAATGTCGTTACTAACAAGTCCGGTTGCATGAACAAACCTGTAAACCTGGTAAGGTACGACATGTCTTCTTTCATGGAATCATGTGTAGATGCATACTGTGAACTGGCAAAGGTTCAGAAAGATGACTTGCCAGTAGTTGCAACGCCGTTCACAGAAGCGGGAATAGCCCGGCCAACTCTCGATGAGAAGGAGAAGCCAGGGAGGTTGCAACCGATTGCATCGAAGGTCCTGATGAAGATTCTCTTTGCGGCCCGTATGGCACGCCCAGATCTCTTAAGAGCTACTCAAAGCTTGGCATCTAGGGTGACGAAATGGTCCATTGAGTGCGACATTGCATTGCACAGGTTGGTATCATACATCAAGTCAACTACAGATGTTTTTATGGAGGGTTTTGTGGGAGACTCGTTTGAGGATTGTCAACTGTGGCTATTTGCTGACGCTGATCATGCGGGGGAACATGATTCAAAATCAACTTCAGGTTGTGCAATGTTTCTTGTGGGGCCAAATACCTATTTCCCACTAAACGCATTCAGCAAGAAGCAGACAGTTGTAGCAAACTCGTCCACTGAAGCCGAAGTCGTATCAGCAAATCACGCACTCAGAGCAGAAGGGATTCCGATGTTAGCACTGTTGGAGCAATTGGGCATTTTCAAGAAATTGTCCCAGAAGGCTGGGTCAAACCCCAAGCCAAACACCCTTGAACAAAATGATCCTGTTTTTACTCGTATCGACAAAGAGATCGATGAAATCAGGTATGGCAATGTTGAGGGGGGCCTTTCTGCGGCAAATATCAATGGTTTGAAGGCCCACTTTCCGGAGTTCTATCAAGTGAAGTTCATGGAAGATAATCAAGCTTCTATCACTGTGATGGGTACCGGTAATTCCTCCACCATGCGCTACGCCAACAAAACTCAGAACATCTGCTTTAAATGGATGAAACAGTTGTTCGAAGAAGATCAATTCCATTTGATAAATGTTGGCACCAATTGGCAGACAGCTGACATCCTTACAAAACCTTTTACTTCCCCAACTAAATGGGAACATGCTTTGAGGTTGATGGCCATTGGAAAGACTTGGATCGACGCCGACAAGCCCAAGGTGCGCCAAGTAGACTCCAAGCCTGCGTGTCCAGCTAATGTCGATGATCAGGGGGGACGTGATGGTTCAAATTCTTTCCAAAGAATGTTGATTGAGTTTTGCTGTTCATCCGATTCGAAGCTATGCACTCCACGGCAAGCCAGTAAAGGGTGTAGACTTATCCGAGTAACTGAAAACGAGGATGGCACCACCCAAGGCTGCCGTAAATGGCTAGCCCAAGAAGTCCAGTCTTTCAGGGAGAGTAATCCAGAGGGTGAGATTTTGCTTTATGCTTCCTTGCCATGTGTGGGCGGCAGTCCATGGGGTTACATCAACAGTTTGACTGACAAAGGGGCTGAACGAATCGAACAGCAACAAAAGGAATTTACAAAACTTTTCAAATCACTTCAAAAGGTTATCAGTGAAATCGATGGGCCACATTTTTCAATTGCATTTGAACTCTCAAAGAACTGCAAGTATTGGAAATGGCCAATGGTTCAATCGTTTTTGAAGAGACAAGAGTTGAAATTGTATCCATTCCACGGTTGCCAGTTTGGGGTTATTGACTTGGACGGGAATCCCATGAAAAAGGGTTGGATGATTGCAACAAACATGGAAGAGTTGTCAAGTCTATCGGAATACGTTTGTGATGGTTCCCACACTCATGGTCAAAGCCGGGGTACTGCACTGAAGCTTGCAGAGAACTACACATTCAAGTTGACTGACTTCATCCATGATTGTTTTCGTTCCAGAGCTAACCGGGCACAAACCGCCAAGAACAGGAAAAGGTTAGCTTTGCCCGCCATGAGCCGACGTTCTGAAGATTCAAATTTGTCGATTGCTGAAAAGATGAACGTGCGGGCTCTCAAGTCGGCCGGTTTAAAGACCGTGCCCCAACAAAGCAACATGTCGGAGTGGCTTGCTTTTCGGAAGTGCCTTGATGTTCAGGGGGATAGGCACGCAGGGTGGGAGGACATCTTTTCTACGGTCCTCGCTTCGTCAACCATCCTGGCACAGGGCAACAGAACAGAAGACCTTGAGTTGGCTGCAGGATTCATGCAGTGTTTTACTGCGCAGTCAATGTCTACGGACGCCCTGACGAACGTGCCGTGGGCAAAGGAGATCCGCCATCTGTCCGAGTTGGAACATGACTCACTGTGGGATCTGAGCTTGCCTACTGAGTACGTCCCTGGGACATCAAGGCCGGCGGTAGACGTCGTGCCCACCATCTATGTGGTGACTTCCGATTCAACTTTGGCTCTGATCACTGGAAAGGGCAAGACTTTGAAGAAGTACACCTTGAAGGAGGATCTGGGATTGCGAAAATCAGACATGGTTCTCGAAATCGGTCATGACATGCTCTGGGGTAAGGATTTACAACAGCTCTGCAAAGCAAATATTTCCATGATCAAGGAGCTGATGGCAAAATATTCTTCTCATGGATCAGCCATCAGGGTTATTTCGGTGATCTTTTGGTCTGGAAATGAAATTTGTGGGGAATATGGTGTTGAACCCCTTCCCATTTGGGGGCAGAGGGAACCACAGGGTGACTGGAATGCCATCATGGACAGGGTCAAAGGCAACATTGTTTGGTGGAACAATCAGCTCAAGCAGTTGGGAGTGGATCAGGCCGCCCTAATCGGCGAGCCCGACCCGCTCACTTATGGGTTGAGTCTCATCTTCACGACGTTTATTGAACGTCTGAAGGAATGGTTCCACAAGGAGATTGCCAGTGACAACGATCGGATTCGGTGGATCAAGAATGACATGCTTCCACCGAGGCTTGAGCTCAGGGACTACTTTCACGCATTCGAGACCGAGCTCAACCGAAGCGAGATGATCGGATATGTCATGGCAACTCTCCACATGCTGCACATGACGGACATTTTGATCCCTCAGTACAACCTGTCTTTGTACAAGCGCAGGCGCCCTGCAGGTGAAGCTACAATGCGCGATGTCCCGCCAAAGATGGAGCACCTTCCAGTCAGGTTTGTGCAGGTTCTCAACTCTCTCCGGGAGAAGGTGAACAAGCCTGCACCGAGTGTCTCGACCCCAGAAAGCTTTACAGCGGAGGAGTTGAGGGATCGCCCGACTGATGCTGGTGTCGCCGAAGATGATGATGAGGAAGGCGACCCATGGGATGCTCTGGATCCCGATGAGCACGAGGGCCCATCTTTTGGCAAAGCCAAGGCAAGCCACGAAGCTCCACCTGACCCCAAGGCGAAAGCTCCAGCGACACAGGAGGATTCAACTCAGGCCACCTCAGCTGGTGAGCCCCTGCAAGAAAACGAGATCAAGGGTACCATTGTGCCAAAACACGCATTGGGACACCTTGACAAGTACCGTATCACTTTGGACGAAAACATTAATGCAGAAGTTGTTGAACATTGTGTCGTCGATTCCCATCCCTACGAATTGATTGTCAAGACCTGTTGGGAGATGGATGGGGCAAAGGAGCTAAAATTTCCTGACCGCATGGACCGGCACAAAACTAAGGTCAATGCAGTGACGCGTGGACAGCCTGGTCAGGACACCTCTGGATTTGATGAAAACATGTGGCTTGACCTTGATGATTTCTTTCGAATGTTCAACCAAATGCTGCCAGCCAAGTTGCCCAGAATGACTGTTGAAGAGCTCATCTCATTGCTCTACTGGGACAGCAAGTGCCGTTTTGAGTTCCAGTGCATTGCCGGGTACCAGAAGGCAACCCGTAAAGGGTTAGCCTACTGGCCCATCAGGATCCGCGCAGTGCAGGGGCATACGAAACGTGCCATGGATGCCGCTTCAGCTGAGGACACGTTCAATGCAGTGGAAATCTATGCTCTGTCTGGAGCAGCAGCGATCCAGAAAATGAACGCCAAAGGTAAAAAGATTACCACTCCTCAGATGTGCCCTGGCGTAGTTTATCACAGGACTACAAAAGGCAATTGGAAGGGCATCATTGAGAATGGCTTCGTGGCTGGAGGAGGAGAACGAAACTCGTCAGGAAGAGCTCACTCTTATTTTAGCGACGTTCGTGTTGATGAGAAAGAGTATGTGAGCGGTTTGCGTGCTGAGCGACCCATTGAAATCAGGGTTGCAATGGCAGAAGCTGTCAAGGCTGGAATTGTGTTTTTCAGAACAGCTTCCGACGGCATTCTCACAAGCGATGTCGTCCCGCCACAATACATCATCTCTGTCGATGACACGGCCAAGAAGGTGAATCTTTATCGTCGCCAGCAGGAGATTGCACAGTCTGCAGCGAGCAGTGGGGGAGAAGTTGGAGTCCAGCAGCTTGTCGAGACCTTTGAGGCCAAGGCATCGAAAAGGACGGGTTCCACATCTCCGGCCGCCTCAACTGGCGCGCCCGCTGCAAAGACATTTTTCCCAGGAAAGGTGAAGCCTCCGCCACCAAATGTGGCCCAACTTGCCGGTATGCCTGGATATGCAAGCAGCAGACTGTTGCCCCCTCCTCCAAAGGGTGAAGCTCCGAAACCTCCTGCAGCAAAGGTTGAAGGACCAAAGACACCGCCAAAGACACCTCCAAAATCATCATCGAAGGAAGGGACTTCTGCACCTCATGCACCAGAAGTTCCAAAAGCTGTGACCTCAGAAGTTGATGCAGCGGCAAAGGATGAACCTGCAAAGAAGAAGGCAGCCCTGACAAGCGTGCCCGCAGCTGTGCCTGCGGCATCATCGGCTGCGGCCTTCTTGGAGCCTGTTCCAAAAGTTGCACCACCAAAGGCAGTGCAGAAAGATCCAAAAGCTCCAGTTGCAGAGTCACCCAAAAAGACGCCAGCAGCAACATCAAAGTCACTGGTGCCAAAGCAGAAGTCTCGCCCTAAAGGCGATGACCAACCTTCGAAGAAAGAGGTGAAGAAGGAGGACAAGAAGCCGGTGCTGGTCAAGATCGAAGTCACGCAATGCTCAAGATGTTTTGCACAGACTTTCAAGGGACAGATTGAATGTGATGTGTGTGGATTGATGCTCGAAGGGATCAACAAGGCCGATCGAACCAAGATTGCAGAACGAAGAAAGGCCGCCCTTCACAAGCTGGGCTTGTACTATGATTTTCGTGGTGAGTACCTGCAGAGCATCACACACGGCCAGCTTGAAAATCTGGGTTTGTTGGACGATCAGGCAAGAGGAAGCTCAAGTCCGGAAGCCGGTTTATTGGCAAGGGCCAAGAGTCGTTTCGACCGTGCCTTGAGTTTGGGCTATGTGTCTGTGGCTGACAGGTTTGCCCAGGACGCCACATTCGCAGAGAGCGTGCTGAACGAGGGGGAGAACGAGTACGATTGTGAAAGGTACGACCTCCTCAAATCTGCACATTTGCCAAAGCCTGGTCGCACCAAAGCTCAGGTCAAGATGGGTATTTCTGAGCAATCCCAGCTGGAGCACAATGCAATGAGGCTGGTTTACTTGGATTTGGCCAACCGTCATGACGTCCCAAAGTCTTTCAGGTACATCGACCAGCCATGGTTCTACATGTACCGAACCGAGATCTACTCCGAAGAAGAGTACATTGACTACCTCAGCAGGAATCCTGGACACAATCTTTTGTTGTCTTGCACTGGTGTTGACAACATTGCTGTTCATGATGCTGAACGTCATTTGAGGTGGATTAAGGGACAAAATGAAGAGCTGTACAAGCAGAACGCAGCAGAGAAGAAGAAACAGTCTGACAGGGCCCGCGAACAAAACGAGGCCAAGCGCAAAGCTGAGCAGACTGGTGCGTATGGCCAAGGTCCCTCCAAGAAAGGCACCGCCAAACCGGTTGCCCGACCATCCACAAGCGTAGAGGTAGCTTCATCATCAACGTCTGCAAGTCAGTGGCTCAACCGCCCTCAGCAAAGTCATTCCCACGATGATCGCCGTTACACTGGAGAGTGGCAGAAATGGCATGGACGCTGGTATGAGAAAGTCATCAGGCATGGCCGAGTTGAGTGGGAAGAGGGATAAGTTGTGACACTGCTTGCATTGACGATCGGTTTTTGTATCATAGCCGCCGTTTTGGGTTTCCTCAGGTCGTGCAAAGAGCCAGGAGCGGTAAGGCAGGTCTTAAAGACCTCGCCCTGGTAAATGGGCAGCCTTGCCGTGACCGGCTCACCTGAGGGGGGTGTATTTGCACTCCACCATTAAACCCATGTATGATAGTGGCACGCTGACTAGCATTGCGGCTCAGGTAAAAGTAGCTTGTGCGCCGCTAGCTTAACGGTTTTCTTCCCACTTGTTATAGGTTTATCAGTCTATTTGGGTGTAATAGGAATTACCACTGCTGAAACCTGTAAATACAGAGCTGTCAGCCGGGAAGTCAGGTGCCAGGAATTAATTTTTTTCCGTATCAGATTGAGGGGGGGAGATATGGCATGTTACCAACGCAAGCATCCAGGAAATAATTTTCTTACTTGGCTATCAGAGGGGTAAATTTATTGGATGTTGGACGTTGGACAGCAGGAAATTAGCAAAACAAATTCAAAAAGGTGGTTGGAAGTGAGAGTTCGGCTTCAGAGGTTAGGGGCCAGGAATTTAAAGCTTCAAAACCTCTCTCAAAGGTTAGGGGTCATCATTTTAGACCGATTTTTTCTAGGCCCAGACCCCACGTTAAAGTACTGAGGGATCTTGAAATCATGTCCAATCTAAGGCAACTAAGTTTGATTTCGCCAAGCAACGACGCTTCGTATAGTTTGCATATCATCGCTCCGAGCGGAACGAAAAAAAAACATCCAAGCTGTATGGTTGGATGCTACTTGTTTTAGGAGACAATGACCAAATTTAGACGGCAACTGGCTGCACACCATGTCAAGCCATCAACCCCCAGGAGATCAATGACCTTCGGCAAACTTAGCCCCGACAAATCGAGAATGTTTGTGCTCTCAAGCCCGAACTGGAACCCCCCCCCTCCCCCGGAAAAAAAAACCAAGCTTTCTGAGTCCGGACTCGCGGTCCATGCTCGAACTCGAGTTCGAACTGGCGGTGACACAGTTCGAACTCGCGTTCGAACTCGCCCCAGAGCAGTTCGAACTCGATTTTGACCTGGCGGCGTCCGCGTCGAACTCGAACTCGAACTCGAACTCGCACCCCCCCCCCGGGAAAAAAAAACAAGCTTTCTGAGTCCGGACTCGCGGTCCACATGCTCGAACTCGAGTTCGAACTGGCGGTGACACAGTTCGAACTCGCGTTCGAACTCGCCCCAGAGCAGTTCGAACTCGATTTTGACCTGGCGGCGGCCGCGTCGAACTCGAACTCGAACTCGAACTCGCCCCCCCCCGGAGGGAAAAAAAAACCTTTCCGAGTATGCATTCACGGTCAAGCTCTGAAAGACTGCGAGCTGTCAGCCGGGAAGTCAGGTGCCAGGAATTAATTTTTTTCCGTATCAGATTGAGGGGGGGAGATATGGCATGTTACCAACGCAAGCATCCAGGAAATAATTTTCTTACTTGGCTATCAGAGGGGTAAATTTATTGGATGTTGGACGTTGGGCACCAGGAAATTAGCAAAACAAATTCAAAAAGGTGGTTGGAAGTGAGAGTTCGGCTTCAGAGGTTAGGGGCCAGGAATTTAAAGCTCCAAAACCTCTCTCAAAGGTTTGGGGTCATCATTTTAGACCGATTTTTTTCTAGGCCCAGACCCCACGTTAAAGTACTGAGGGATCTTGAAATCATGTCCAATCTAAGGCAACTAAGTTTGATTTCGCCAAGCAACAACGCTTCGTCTAGTTTGCATATCATCGCTCCGAGCGGAACGAAAAAAAACATCCAAGCTGTATAGCTGGATGCTACTTGTTTTACGAGACAATGACCAAATTTAGACGGCAACTGGCTGCACACCATGTCAAGCCATCAACCCCCAGGAAATCAATGACCTTCGGCAAACTTAGCCCCGACAAATCGAGAATGTTTGTGCTCTCAAGCCCGAACTGGAACCCCCCCCCTCCCCCGGAAAAAAAAACCAAGCTTTCTGAGTCCGGACTCGCGGTCCATGCTCGAACTCGAGTTCGAACTGGCGGTGACACAGTTCGAACTCGCGTTCGAACTCGCCCCAGAGCAGTTCGAACTCGATTTTGACCTGGCGGCGTCCGCGTCGAACTCGAACTCGAACTCGAACTCGCACCCCCCCCCCCGGGAAAAAAAAACAAGCTTTCTGAGTCCGGACTCGCGGTCCACATGCTCGAACTCGAGTTCGAACTGGCGGTGACACAGTTCAAACTCGCGTTCGAACTCGCCCCAGAGCAGTTCGAACTCGATTTTGACCTGGCGGCGGCCGCGTCGAACTCGAACTCGAACTCGAACTCCCCCCCGGAGGGGAAAAAAAAAACCTTTCCGAGTATGCATTCACGGTCAAGCTCTGAAAGACTGCGAGCTGTCAGCCGGGAAGTTAGGTGCCAGGAATTACTTTTTTTCCGTATCAGATTGAGGGGGGGAGATATGGCATGTTACCAACGCAAGCATCCAGGAAATAATTTTCTTACTTGGCTATCAGAGGGGTAAATTTATTGGATGTTGGACGTTGGGCACCAGGAAATTAGCAAAACAAATTCAAAAAGGTGGTTGGAAGTGAGAGTTCGGCTTCAGAGGTTAGGGGCCAGGAATTTAAAGCTTCAAAACCTCTCTCAAAGGTTAGGGGTCATCATTTTAGACCGATTTTTTTCTAGGCCCAGACCCCACGTTAAAGTACTGAGGGATCTTGAAATCATGTCCAATCTAAGGCAACTAAGTTTGATTTCGCCAAGCAACGACGCTTCGTATAGTTTGCATATCATCGCTCCGAGCGGAACGAAAAAAAAAACATCCAAGCTGTATGGTTGGATGCTGCTTGTTTTACGAGACAATGACCAAATTTAGACGGCAACTGGCTGCACGAACCCTCGAACTCGAACTCGAACTCCACCCCCCCCCCGCCCAAAACAAAAATCCTCCCGACCTCGACTCGAACTCGAACTCGAACTCGAACTTCCCCCCCCCCATCCCCTCCGAAGCAGACGTACGATGCCAGTTCAAACTGGTATCGAACAGTTCGAACCCCCCCGGGTTAACTCGAACCCTCGAACTCGAACTCGAACCCCCCCCTTCCCCTCGAGGCACACCTACGAAGGCAGTTCGAACTCGAATCGAACAGTTCGAACCCCCCCGGGGCACACTCTGGTGTCCTGGATTTGGTGGTGTTGTGTTTCCCTTTGATTTTTCCTTGAATACTTCCAAAATCAGCTTTTTCTCTTTGGATTTCTAATATATCTGAATGCCTCCGCTCGCATGGGTGCAATTCTGTTTTGTCCTTTAGGGTTGTGAATTACACATAATTACACTTGAATGACTGGGCTGCCAGGGTCTTCCTCGCTGCTGGAATACCTCCTGGGGTTGAACTTAGGCTGAAACTTTGGAGACCAGGAACAACCAAGGCTTTATTAGATTCCGGTTAGAACAAAGAAAACTTGGAATCTTATGCTAGTTACTGCAAGAGGAGCTGAGGTCAAGAGTATTGTGACATGCTGCTTGATTTGATGTCTAGTCAAGCAATCACCCTGCATGACGTGCAAAAGATCCGGAGCTTTGCATCAAATGTCCCAAGCGAATGATAAACAACCTGCTGGTTTTGGAGCATGTGTGCAACTACATCAGGGGCCAAAGTGGGTTGAAAGAGTTGAAACTGGTATATATTGTATGTCTGAAAAAATCGTTCCCTTGCTGCGACACGAAGTTCATCAGATGCAAGATCGTTGGCTTTTGTGCAGAACAAACCGCGAATCAGAAACTTACCGCGAATCAGAAACAAAGAATCAGAAACTAAAAGCCGCGAATCAGAAACTAAAATCCGCGAATCAGAAACCAAAATCCCGCGAATCAGAAACCAAAAATCCCGCGAATCAGAAACTAAAATGCGCGAATCAGAAACAAAACTCCGCGAATCAGAAACTGAGAATCAGAAACTAAAAACTGCGAATCAGAAACTAAAATCCCGCGAATCAGAAACCAAACTCCCGCGAATCAGAAACCAAAATCCCGCGAATCAGAAACCAAAAACCGCGAATCAGAAACCAAAACCAGAAAATCAGAAACTAAAAAACACACGAGAGCAGGTGCGTTTCGACTGAGGCAACAGACAGACTGTGACGTTGGGACTCTTCAGACACAGTTGAGTAAACCATATTTTGAACAAGCAGCTTCTGAATACTTGCCACTCCATGAAAGCTGCGACACTCTCAACTTCAACTTCTCTTCTTAAGAAATCAAATCCGCCACCCTCCTCTGGCCACTATGTTGAATAGCATATTACCTTCTACTTCACTTCAAAAGAAATTAAATCCGCCACCCCCTCTGGCCACTATGTTGAATAGGATATTAACTTCAACTTATTTTCATAAGAAATCAAATCCGCCACCCCCTCTGGCCACTATGTTGAATACGATATTACCTTCTACTTCACTTCAAAGGAAATCAAATCCGCCACCCCCTCTGGCCACTCTGTTGAATAGGATATTACCTTCTACTTCACTTCAAAGGCAATCAAATCCGCCACCCCCTCTGGCCACTATGTTGAATAGGATATTACCTTCTACTTCACTTCATAAGAAATCAAATCCGCCCCCCCCTCTGGCCACTATGTTGAATACGATATTACCATCTACTTCACTTCAAAGGAAATCAAATTCGCCACCCCCTCTGGCCACTATGTTGAATAGAATGCTACTTTCTACTTCACTTCATAAGAAATCAAACCCGCCACCCCCTCTGGCCACTATGCTACATAGGATATTAACTTCACCATATTTTCTTAAGAAATCAAATCCGCCACCCTCCTCTGGCCACTATGTTGAATAAGATATTACCTTCTACTTCACTTCAAAAGAAATTAAATCCGCCACCCCCTCTGGCCACTATGTTGAATAGGATATTAACTTCAACTTATCTTCATAAGAAATCAAATCCGCCACCCCCTCTGGCCACTATGTTGAATACGATATTACCTTCTACTTCACTTGAAAGGAAATCAAATCCGCCACCCCCTCTGGCCACTCTGTTGAATAGGATATTACCTTCTACTTCACTTCAAAGGAAATCAAATCCGCCACCCCCTCTGGCCACTATGTTGAATAGAATACTACTTTCTACTTCACTTCATAAGAAATCAAATCCGCCACCCCCTCTGGCCACTATGCTACATAGGATATTAACTTCAACATATCTTCATAAGAAATCAAATCCGCCATCCCCTCTGGCCACTATGCTACATAGGTTATTAACTTCAACTTATCTTCATATGAAATCAAACCCGCCACCCCCTCTGGCCACTATGTTGAAAAAGGATATTAACGTCAACTTATCTTCATACGAAAGCAAATCCGCCACCCCCTCTGGCCACTATGTTGAATAGGATATTACCTTCTACTTCACCTCAAAAGAAATCAAATCCGCCACCCCCTCTGGCCACTATGTTGAGTAGCATGTTACCTTCTACTTCACTTCAAAGCAAATCAAATCCGCCACCCCCTCTGGCCACTATGTTGAATAGGATAGTAACTTCAACTTATCTTCATAAGAAATCAAATCCGCCACCCCCTCTGGCCACTATGTTGAATACGATATTACCATCTACTTCACTTCAAAGGAAATGAAATCCGCCACCCCCTCTGGCCACTATGTTGAATAGGATTTTTCCTTCTACTTCACTCCAAAGGAAATCAAATCCGCCACCCCCTCTGGCCACTATGTTGAATAGGATATTACCTTCTACTTCACTTCAAAAGAAATCAAATCCGCCACCCCCTCTGGCCACTATCTTGAATAGAAAATTACCCTCTACTTCACTTCATAAGAAATCTAATCCGCCACCCCCTCTGGCCACTATGCTACATAGGATATTAACTTCACTGTATCTTCTTAAGAAATCAAATCCGCCATCATAAGAAATCAAATCCGCCACCCCCTCTGGCCGCTATGCTACATAGGATATTAGCTTCAACTTATCTTCATATGAAATCAAATCCGCCACCCCCTCTGGCCACTATGTTGAGTAGGATATTACCCTCTACTTCACTTCATAAGAAATCAAATCCGCCACCCCCTCTGGCCACTATGTTGAATAGGATATTACCTTCTACTTCATTTTAAAAGAAATCAAATCCGCCACCCTCCTCTGGCCACTATGTTGAATAGGATATTACCTTCTACTTCACTTCAAAGGAAATTATCCGCCACCCCCTCTGGCCACTATGTTGAATAGGATATTAACTTCAACTTATCTTCATAAGACATCAAATCCGCCACCCCCTCTGGCCACTATGCTCAATAGGATATTACCCTCTACTTCACTTCATAAGAAATCAAATCCGCCAACCCCGTCTGGCCACTATGCTACATAGGATATTAACTTCAACTTATCTTCTTAAGAAATCAAATCCGCCATCATAAGAAATCAAATCCGCCACCCCCTCTGTCCGCTACGCTACATAGGATATTCGCTTCAACTTATCTTCATACGAAAGCAAATCCGCCACCCCCTCTGGCCACTATGTTGAGTAGGATATTACCCTCTACTGCACTTCAAAGGAAATGAAATCCGCCACCCCCTCTGGCCACTATGTTGAATAGGATTTTACCTTCTACTTCACTCCAAAGGAAATCAAATCCGCCACCCCCTCTGGCCACTATGTTGAATAGGATATTACCTTCTACTTCACTTCAAAAGAAATCAAATCCGCCACCTTTCTCTGGCCACTATGTTGAATAGGATATTACCTTCTACTTCACTTCAAAGGAAATTATCCGCCACCCCCTCTGGCCACTATGTTGAATAGGATATTAACTTCAACTTATCTTCATAAGACATCAAATCCGCCACCCCCTTTGGCCACTATGCTCAATAGGATATTACCCGCTAATTCACTTCATAAGAAATCAAATTCGCCAACCCCGTCTGGCGACTGTGCTACATAGGATGGCACCTACAACTTATCTTCATACGAAATCACATCCTCCTTTGACATTCATCTTACCTTCGGACTGATTTCACTCCCATGATTTGCCGTGGTCTGATCCCAATTAAAGAGAACCCATGCAATCCACTCCATTGGAAGAAGACAAGTTGCCCATTAGGATTGATGAACAGGTTTTAGTTTCCGATTCTTTTGGTTTCCGATTAACAGGTTTTAGTTTCCGATTCACCTGCTTTAGTTTACGATTCAGCTTTGGTTCCCGATTCCGGGTTTTTGGTTTCCGATTCAAGGGTTTTAGTTTCCGATTCACGGGTTTTAGTTTCCGATTATTTTAGTTTCCGATTAACAGGTTTTAGTTTCCGATTAACGGGTTTTAGTTTCCGATTAACGGGTTTTAGTTTCCGATTAACGGGTTTTAGTTTCCGATTAATGGCTTGACCTTTTGTGCAATTCAGAGTCAGGATAGAATATATTTTCCACCCTTCAGGACCCTACATGTCATTTTATGACACTGCATCTCGCAATCTTATGCGCGAACTTGAACCCGGCCAGCTTTTGCTCAGCCCCTGGACAAGCATCACTGTAAAAGACATGATTGACATCGAATGAATGCGATTGTTTACAACCTCATTTTTTGAAATGAAATGGCAGAGCGCATCACCTGCCTTCAGATTTCACTTTGAAATCAAGACACTTTGCGTTTCAGGGACAGAAGTTCCAAGACATTGCCCACAGGATATACATTTCTAATCACGTCTTCCAATCATGCATACATCCCAGTGTAGATAGAGATGTGCAAAGTGATTGCGGAGGCATTTGTGCCATGGTCAAAAGTTGGATTCTCTATATATATATATATATCCATATCGGGGGATGGTCATCAACCCAGTAATACCCATTATGAGGCTTCCCATTATGGGATGGATGACCATACCACATATGACATATACATGCCTTGACCGTGGCACATGTGATGGAGGCGGCATCTCATATCGATTCATTCCTGCCATGACGGAGGGCTTGGAAGTGCGACGCCAAGGGAACGTACGAAACACAAGCAAATTATCCGGCCATAGTCCATAGCCGCCCATAGCCGTACAGCAACAGTGTTGTCATAAATATGCAAACATTATGCAAACAGCTCTATGGGAAGTTGTCCCCAGGGCCGACCGGTTCTCCCTATGGTTCAGCCTACATTTGAGATGAAATTGTATCCTTGCATTGCATGTCGGAATTAATTATTCAAGAAAGTGAAAGCAGTATTGTGAGAAAAGGGTTCAATGTCTGAGCACCCGGTTTGGTCCCTTCAAGGTTGATACCCCTGCGGCCATTTTCCTTCTACTTGCCTTTTACCTACCTTCTACTTGAAAGATGTATCAATCTGAGCAATCGTGGTCAATCTGGAATTGAGTTTGCGGACATATCCTGAGCGGTCACATCTCACCTAGTATACACTACATGTATCATAACACCCACCTCATCAGATAAAGAAACGATGGGGTGTGGAAGACCTTTTCGTTCTTTAATACTCTTCGAAGGAATTTTAGAAGTCAAACTTCCGACAATATGGACAGATGGAAAAGCAAAGGTGGGAAGAATCAGAGAAGAGAAGAGAAGAAAAAAGAAGATCAGAAAGAAGATGCAGGCGCGCGAAAGGGTAGAAAAGTCGCGAAACACTCTGTTTTTCCAATGATTTGTGGCTCCGGAGGGTCGAAAAGCAGGCTCGCTAAAGCGGCGGGTGCGGAGCCATCTGGGCAGATGAGAGAGGAAAAATTGCACGCCGTTGTGGCGCGAAGCAGATTTGGAAGTCAAAATGTACAAAGCACACCAGGTTCGGAAGCACTTTTGGAAGTTGAGATGTCGAAAAAGTGCACGCCATTGTGGCGCGAAGCACACTTCCAAGTCAAAATGTACAACGCACGTCAGTGTCGGAGCACTTCGTGGATTTGAGATGTTCAAAAAGTGCACGCCGTTGTGGCGCGAAGCACATTTCCAAGTCAAAATGTAAAAACCACCACATGTTCTGACCACTTCTGGACGTTCAGATGTCGTTTCGCCTGGCAGGCATCAGAGATGTTAGGGGCGCTGATTTCCTGAGAGGGGTTGCATTTTGGAGCATCAGATCTTCAGGTTTGCTGAGATGATTTTGCGTGACAGGTGCAGCACTTCGTATGACCTGGCATGACTTTTTCGTGGCAGGCGCAGTAGTTTAGATAAATGGACTGGAAAAATTGCAAAACTCATTCGCACAAGGCCGTCAGCTCTGCACTCAACGTTCCATTACTGAAGGAGGTCTTGCAGAATGCAGAATTGCTTCGTTTTTGATGTTGCCAACTTCAAAAACAGAGGCAGTCTCGCATAATTACTCTGTTTTTGACATTGTCAAGGTCAAAAAGTTGCGGAAGTCTCGCACAATTGCTTCGTTTTTCATGTTGTCACCTTCAAAAATGGAGGAAGCCTTGCAGAATTGCTTCCTTTTTTGACGTTGAAAAACTCAAAAATTGAGGAAGTCTTGCAGAATTGCTGCGTTTATGATGTTGCCAAGTTCAAAGATTGAGGAAGTCACGCAGAATAGCTTCGTTTTGAAGCTTGCAGAGAGACAGATATATAGATAGACTGATAGATAGGCAGAAAGATGGCTAGATAGACAGACAGACAGATAGATAGACAGATAGATAAATAGGTTTTTGGAAAGACCGGTAGATAAAAACAACTGCAACTACACTACGCTAGAACTAGAATAAGAACTACACCACAACTACAACTACAACAACTACAAATACAACTACAACCTCAACTACACGTCAACTACAACTACAATTTCAACTACAACTGCAATTACCGCTACACAACGCTACAGCTACAACTACAACTACAACTACAGCTACTACAACTACCCTACAACTGCAACTGTAACTACAAGTACACCACAGCTACAACTACAAATACAACTTCCACTACAATTCAACTTCTGCTACAAGTACAAATGCAACTACCACTACACTACGGTACACTAGGCCACAACAACAACTACCATTACCACTACCACTGCCAGCAAACAACACTACAACTACAACTACAACTACTACTACGACTACGCTACAGCTGCAACTACCACTACCACTACCAGTAAATTACACTACGGCTACAACTACAACTTCACCACCACTACAACAACACTACACTACAAGTACAGCTACAACTACAAGTGCAACTCCAACAACTGCTTCAATCACCACGACATTTTCAACTACACTACAACTACAACTACAACCACAACTACAACCACAACTACAACTGCAGCTACAGCATTGCATCTTCAACAACATCAGGTACACTACAACTACAACTACAACTACAACTACAACTACACTACAGCTACAACTACAAGTACATCTACAACTACAATTACATTGCATTTCTTTACACCATACTACATCCTGCAGTTGTGGGTGAGGTGGCCACTGCAACCACTCCAATAATCACAACCACCTTCGGTGGTTCGCTCTGCCATCCATGCATCACAACAACTCACTTCTCCTATAGTTTCCTATCTTTGAAACTTCCTTCACCGCCTTGTGCGGTCCTACTGATATCTGGACTGTCCCCCCCCGTGGAATGCACAGGATGTCTTCAGTTCAGCTTCTGCTACTCCTTTCCCAAGGTTATCAAATTCTTCTATTTTCTCTAACTAAAATCTGTATTTTAGATCATTCTTCAACAATCCAGTCCAGATACTTCTTAAGATTTTGGAGATGGATCCCTGCTTGCTAGATGTTGCCACTGAATCGCTTGCTGCTACTTGAAGCTCAGCGCTTGAAACCTGCCAATGCGAGCAGGAAACTGTTCCGCAGACCTATGAACTTGTTAGAATAGGCCGGAGATACATGCAGCATACTTTGACAAGTCAATTCAGTCATGCCAACAGTTTTCCACCAATTTGGAGAAACATGATGGAACTAGCAGAAGAGTGAAGGTGAAGTTGCCAGCAGTCTCAAGTTCTCTCGCCAGGTACTTTTCAGAGTTGCTTTCCTACGGCCTTTGGTTGCCCCCGTCAGGCATTGTCTTGCGACCCTTAAACAGTTTTCCCAACAGCCATTAGAGTGCCATTACCCGTAGGATTGACCTGGTGGTTTTGCGTGGATTATTTGGAATTTGACAGGGCCTTGCAGCTCCTTCTGTACGAGGGCGCATACAGTCGGAGACAAAGCAAATCCTGTTGACAAGTTGCGCCCTCTGGGGTCGTAGAAACAGTGTGAACTGAACATGAGTTATGTTGACAACTGTCATTGGCAGTCGCAGCGTGGAAGGCTTGCTCCATGGATGCAAACAGGTGGCAGCCACTTCCTGGCTGGCTTGGAGGCCGCAATCACCGCAATCTTTGAGCCAGACTTGCATGACTTAAAATGACTTAATCACGACTTGAAGTTTCGCTGAGGGAAGTTGCCATGTGCATGGAGGCGTTTTCCCATGTTTGGGTCGTGTTTCTTTTTGACAAGAACAAGCACAGTCACTGCCTCAGCTTGCCTCAGCTGTATTTTGCTCCGTGATTAAGATGGAAAACATGAGGCATGCAGCAGGATGCAGCAGCATGAAGCAACATTCACCAAAATGGGGCAGGCAGCACGTCCTTTTCATCGAGCTCTTTCTTGAAGCAGGGATCCCCAGGCATGGGTAGCAGAAAAAGTGTTGCAGTCAAGTGGAAAAGGTGAGCCAGAAAAGGCGACTGCATGTCATGCTCAGAGGTTTGGCTCAAGTGTATCCAGGTTTCTGTGAAGGTTTCTACCTTCGCCCTTTGATCAGATGGGATGCAATGAACAGCGCCTCTGCAATGACGGATGAGTATCCGGGGCGAGTGAATGGAGAGGAGCAACATGTGAGACCCGAGACACAGTCAATGACGCATGAGATAGATCAGGATTTTGATGACGGTCATGGTGCCTTCATGGTTCATGTGTGCAACGTGCCCCCAACCTCCAGTTTGTCTGATATAGGCATACTGTTTGCGAAGGCTGGTTTACATCATCCGTTCTCTTTCCGAGTATCCGAATCGGTTGTTGCAGTTCAGTTAGATACGGAAGCAGCAGTGGAAGCTGCCTTGGCACTGAGCGGAAGCATCTTGACACCTCCCAAAGTCGGTCAGATCAACATTCCGGGTCAAGTCATAGAAGTGATTCAAGCCGCACCTGCAACACACGCACCGACGGCTCTGTTTTGACCATTTGAAGCGCCCGATTGCAAACCCTGCATCGAAAAGGCAAGAGAGGCTTCAGCAGGTTTTTGCCAGTCTCAGCTCTGCTTGTTTGTTCCTCCTAAGCGAGTTCTTTTATTGTCTTATCATTTTTTTTTGGGCAAATTCGGCTGTGCCCAAGCTGAAGGCCCACAGTCCGACCACCTTGGCTCGCAGGCTGGAAGACTCCGAGAGTCATGTCTCTTGGTGAATTGAAATGATTTGGAATGAATTGAATTCTGCAAATTCCTTTTTATCTTTGCTGATGCAATTGCTTCATATTGCTGGCCTTTGATGCCTTTTGCACCGTTAGTATGAAGGCGATGATGGACGACGTGGTACGCGCGGGGCAGGAAGCTCGTAGGTTGGAGTTGTTTTGTTGACACATTGCAAACATCTATGGCTCTCTTAATAGTATTGAGAACATTTGCTCTTATACTCAAATTTGATTTGATTCTGCAGATCAAGATGGGTAGTTTAGGTTTTTGCTACAAGATCACCCCATCGCTGGGGTCCCAAACAAATTCGCAGATCATGAAGAGTGCCGTCATGGCTGCTTGTTTGAGTAAAGTCACATCAACCTTTATTGCACCCAATCTTGAAGTGCTTTCTGCTTTCTTGTTGTCCGCGACAGTTGATTGTGTTTCTTGTTTCTGAGGTCCGAACCCACTGGGTTTGACCCTTTGCCGTTTGGATTGCGTGGATCAGGCACGCATCTTCAGATTGCTTCAGATACAGAGATGAACGTAGACCACATGATGAGCGGAGAAAAACTTGTAGTAAGTGATAACCAGACGAAGATCGTTCTTCAGTTCTTACTTTGGTGGGGAAGGGCTGTCCAGGTGTTAGGATTCAGGGGTGGAGCTTTTGCACGGCTGCGGGCATTTGTGCCGTTGCTTTCTGTTGCTTCCTGTTGCTTTCTGTTGCGCTGAGCTGGCTTGATCTCCTGCAGCAAGTCAAAGACGCAACAAACACAGAGTGCCATAGAGTGCCTAGGTGTAATTTTGTGAAACAGATGGGGACAAGCTGCACTGCAGATTCCAGGCTGGAGCAACACTGTATGTAAGCGGTGTTGATGTCGTGAATGGGTCCGCAGTGCCAGATGCCAAGATTGCAGAGAGCTGTTGCTTTCAGCTTCCAGTTTTGACTGTTTGCCTGTTTCAGGTGTTCCGCAATATTCGGTTTAATTTTGCTGCCAGTGGTACTGTAAGTAAGATTCCAGTTTCCAGGCATTCTCACTTTCTTCCGCATCCGTCCGCAGTGGAAATTATGGTACTGTAACTCTGCACTCTTGCATTGTATGGACGTGCCTGGACTATCGTGGCCTATGTATATGTATATGTATATATATGTATATGTATATGTATATGGAATTCATCAGTGCCAGTACCGAATTGATTCGAGTCATTGCTTGTAACTTGACCCATTATTTTACTGGTACTGGTCTATTGCTTGCTGAATGCATTTTTTCACACTTCTTGTGCATGCCTGTTGTGCATCCTTTGAACACATCTGTCATGTCTGTTTTGATCGATCTTATTGCAGAAAATAACGGGCACATTGTGACAAAAGAGTCTTTGATGTACTGCCCAGATACGAAAGACAGAACATATTCAAGATTTGAACATGCATTGAACAGAGAAGCAATGCATAGCACATGCATTGAATAATCCTCGCCATGAAATCTGATCAGACATGCCCAGGTCATTCTCCAGTATCGACTTCACAAAACCAGAGGGGTATCCAAGCAACCAAATAACTACAGGCACAGTATCAGAAGCAAGCCCTCAAGAAGTACCAGACGCATTCTTTCCAGTTGTTTCACAAAGAAAGCAGCATTTGAAGAGGGCATTCAAGAACTCCTGGGTCTATGTATTTAATAAAACCTTCGCACATTCACCTGAGATTCTCTTAGGTTCCAGCAGAGAAACTCCATTGGTATTCCCGAAGAGTTTTTGCAAGCATCCGTTCAATATTCGCTCAGTTTCCGCCGTTGCTTACAAAAAGAAAGGAGAAACATTTTTTTCAAATTCACCACATAGTTCTGGGGTTCCCAGGCTTTCAAAACTATCACAAACAATGCCTCAAATAATCCATGGGTCTTCATTCAAGATGTTCCGCTGGTATTCCCTCGACAGTGTTATCTACATATATGACAGGTATATTATAATTGCTCAAGATATTCCACATCAGCAAATGAAAGTCTACAGATGAGACCCTCACAAAAATGTATTCAAGTCATAATTTCAACAGACGACGCCCGAAAATACGTAAACAAATAAAGACACTTCATAAGGTCCTCGAAGGGGAACATGACAATCAATAGTCCAACACACATGTTCAAGTGACAGGCATAATTGATGCCTGCGAGAATGTGTACGAAATAGATATTCAAATCAATAGCTATGGAAAGAACATGAACATGTGATGCAGAAAAAAAATTAGCAGTCAGATTTGTTTGCTTTTGCTTCAAAGACAGTTGCTCTAAGAGAGTCGTTTGCGTCTCTTTATACTTCCCAACATCCATAAGTAAATCACAAAGCACTGTTCAGTTCAACTGGCAAACTTGAATTTGAAATAAACATGCACGAGCCATGTCATTAAGAGATGTATCTCTCCAAGATGAAGAGGTGCAAGTCTAGGATCTCATGGTTGACTCATTTGACAGAGTTTAGTTTTTTGTTCTTTTTTCCCTCTATACATTGCGGTAAAAAATAAATTGATTCATGGTACAAATATAATCATTTGATCCAGAAAAAAATACTTTCTCATATCATACTGAATGTGAGACGCATTATGGATCAGTAGAGCTGACTTTTCAGATATTCGGAGGAACATGTCAAAGCATATCAATCTGGACCTCTGAGAGAAAAACGAGCTGAAACATGTCAAGACAGATCCCTGGAAAGCATGTTGGATTGGAGCCTAGCAGGGGAGCATTTCGCCCCAGGCGCAAAACAGAAACCATTTACAGAGTCCTGGCAATGTGTTCAGTCGAAGCCCTGTCGTGAGAGGCATTTTACCTGGGCCTGTTACGTCCATTGAATTCATTTCCAGAAACGTATGTCGACACGAAACGAAAGCCAGCTGAAAATTCTGAAAGAAAACAAACCCAAACCGGTTGAAGGGGTTGGCCTTTAACACGGTGAGAAGACAGGTCAGGGTCCATTTTTTTTGCAGGGGTTTGCAAGCTGCAGGCTGGATTGACACAGAAGCGAAAAAACATCTCAGTTTGAAACCCTGGTGTGTTTTTTAGGGACCCTCTCACAATGGAACCCCTGTGTACAAAACATGTTGACTGAGAGCCACACACACCGTCCCTTATCCTCCACAAAACACGTGGACATGAAACCCAAATTGGGCTCCCCAACACCAGGCCCTTTTCACATTACTGCCTAGTGGATCTCATTTATCTGTAGGTGCCATCTTCAGTGAATCTCAGGCCAGTATTCCTTGTTGCTAGGGCGGGCAGTTGCAGAGCTCAAACCGACAGTGAACAATGTAGTGGTTTGAGTTGCACCATGTGCTCATTCTGAGTGTTTCAGACAGTAATGGGAGCAAGTCAGGAAGCCAGCACTTTTATGCATGTGTCTTTGATGGACATGTGGCTGTTGATGTTAAGTGTGGCCAATATAGCCTGTTCTGGCCAACTATAGCCAAGCAGTCACTAAGTAGTCTGTCACCGACGTCTTTACCATCCTTCAGTGTGGCAACGTCGACGTTACCAGTATTAAGCAACACCAAAGTCAATCCGGTCAGCCGAACTCCTTTGGGCTTGTGACCCCCAACGACCAGGGCACTGAGAAGTGAAGTATTTGTTTGCTTCCCATTTGTTGCATCAACGGTTTGAATTTGCTTCAACTGTGGCGAAAGTGTTTAGTATTTGTTCCACGCAATTGACCCTGCACCATGAGGCTGGACATAAAGCCTTACCATCCAGTGGATTCTCTTGGTGGTAAACTTATGGACGAGGACACTTCTGGCAGCCAAACTACAAGGTGACAGAACATCACCTGATCATATGTAAATGTAAACTACTGACTGACTAGCATGGTATAATCGGGATTGCCGTATGATTGAGCAATCATTCTCCGAATTATCTGTTTGCTTTGAGTTTGTACTTGAACATTTGCAAGATAACACTTACCGAGTCCTTTGCAGGGTTGTACAGCCGAACGATCCTTAAATAGAAACTGCTTCCTTTAATGCGCAAAGACGACAAAGAAGTGAAGAAAAACCAAACGGCACTTCAGGCCAGTGTCTACTCACACTTGGAAAAGTCTACAGTATACGAATCCCTTTTTTACCCCTTCTCCAAACAGTTTACCGTTGGGGTTCTTGCTCCTTTATAAAGCGTCGCATCCTTGCAGCGAATTTTCAACTTGTTTCGGGGCCTGCGTTCCTTGTGGCTGCCTTCCAAAGGATCATTTTCCTTTGTCTCTCACTTGTCTCCTGCTTGTGTCCCTTGCTGCGGCTGTGTTGGGACGGAGGATTTGTCTTTGTCCCACCTGTCTTCCATTGCCTTCAAATAGAGGAATTCTCATCGTCTCCTGTTTGTCTCTCCCTTTTTTCCCCTTTGTCTCCCCTTTGTCTCCTCTTTGTCTCCTCTTTGTCTGCTGCGGCTGCCTTGGGACGGAGAATTTTCTTTCCCTTCCACTTGTCTTCTTTGCCTTGGCTGTGTTGGGCCCTTTTGCTTCCCGCTTCTCTCTTTGTTTGTTTTGGGTCAACGCTTGTGTATTTTTTGGGGGATATTGGATTGATCATGGTTTTGTTTTGTGTGGATATGCGTAGAAATCTTAGGCTTAGAAACAAACCGCTGGTTTGTTTTTCTGCTTGCTGCTGCCTATCCGTTTAGTTTGAGCGTGGTAACCTTGCACTTTCTTTACTCCTTATTTGTAAGTGCTTGTTTCGACATTGCTTTGATCCTGTCTCTAGTCCAAATCCGCTTGTGCAGGCTTTGAGCATGGGCATGAGATGAATTCATCTGAAATACTATCAGTATCTATCAGTTATTTTAGATGGAACTAGCAGACAGTCACGATCTGTCAAGTCGTCAAAGCGTTCAACAGGCTTTGGAAGTGCTTGCTCTCCAGAGATTTTTGGCCGTTTAGACATGTTCTTATCGAGTATTGTGAGAAGCCATGGAGGGCAGCCAAGGCAGTCAAGGCAGCACAAGCCATGTCCGACATGACTATGACACCAAGTGGCCTGCCTACTCATTGGCTTGGTCTTGCAGACCTGAGGCTGGCTTCCGATTTGCAGTTGGCAGTTGCATTGAGGAGACCAAGAACTTCATACAGATAGTTGAGCTGAATGAGGAGAAGAGCACATTGGAATGTGTCGCCGAGACCGAGCACTCCTTCCCTCCAACCAAATTGCTGTGGAGACCTGACAACGGTTCTGACAGTGGGAAGCAAGACTTGCTGGCATCCTCGACAACAACGCTAAATCTCTGGAAGGTGGAAGACGGGCAAATGAAATGCGTTGCAAAGCTTGCAAACACTCGAGCGCAGAAGCAATCTACAAACCTGCCTCCACTGACGTCATTTGACTGGAGCAGTGTGAGTCATCACAAGCTGGGGGCTTCCTCAGTTGATACAACCTGCACCATATGGAATTTGGAGAAGCAGAAGATTGAAACGCAGCTCATCGCACATGACAAAGCCGTGTACGACATTGCCTTTTCACATGTTGATAGTCTTTTTGCTTCTGTCGGGGCCGACGGCTCAGTGAGAGTTTTTGACCAGAGAAACTTGGACCACTCCACCATCATTTACGAATCCTCTCCACCATCTCCCCTCTTGAGATTGGCATGGAACAAGATCAACACCAATCACATTGCAACCATTGCAATGGATGCTCCTGGTGTAAACCTGATTGACATCAGAAGACCGTCAGTTGCTTTGGCAGCACTGTCTTATAATGATTCATGCGTCAACTCCATTACATGGGCTCCTCATTCACGCAATCATCTTTTGTGTGGTACGGATGATGGCTTTGGGATCGTTTGGGATACTGCAGAAGCCCCAGCTAAGCTGGACTCACCTCTATTAGCATATGACTGCGGCAGTGAAGTGTACCAAGCACAATGGCCTGCATCGCAACCAGATTATGTCGCACTTGGCATGGCCCACCAAGTCCGAGTTCTTCAAGTTTGATGAATCTGATGAATGTTTCTGTGAATGTTGTTTCTGTGTTGAACTTCCACGATATGTGCAGCTGGACAGTTTGTAAAACATGTTTCACATTGCTGCTCTACAATCGAGCAGCACGTTGTATCAGTACAGGCGGATGCTGGCACAGATCCATAGTAGACTATCTTTGCAAGTTAATTCGAACAATTCATGTGATTTGAAGTCTTTGTGTGTTCAAATTCCAGAAACACCGAATTGAAGAGCGAAGCAAAATCTGAACTTCTGCAATTCATGAATGATTGCTGGCTGCACAGGTAAACGAAGGTGAAAGCCTGTCAGGGTCTTTCCATATCTGCAATTTCATTTTAAGCTAACAGCTAAGCGATCCAGAATGCTTTTTGCATGTTTAAATAAATCAGCCCCTGACGATCGCAACGCTGCAGGATCTGCGCTTTGCCGAATGGCTTCCAGAGCCACGGCCTTCAGCAGAAGTAACATGGAGTCTGAGGCTCAATGGAGGCTCAAAATGCCTCAAACTAGACGAAACAAGTACAGCATGGTAGAGCCTGAAATCTGAAACTGTTTGGTATCGCATTTGACATGTGTTGAACTCCAGACGCGGAAGCACTCTGAGTCTCTTTGGCTTCGCGTCAGACTGTTGCTTGTAGGTCCTTCAGCACTTGATGAATTGCAGCACTTGCAGAGCCTTTGTCGGTGGTTTCCACAGTGTGACACAGCTTCTTTTTCAGAGCTTTGCACAGCTTGTGACACTTGTGCCTTGCAAGAAGCCCTTGGAATGTTTTGTCAGGTTCTATCCTGACATGCGAGATGCACGAGACTTGGAGGACTGAAGTCATGGCTACATTCGGAACGTGCGGGCCATCAAAACAGATTCAATGATGCATTTCCAACACCTTCCAGCTCTGAACTGTGTCAAAGCTTTCCCTACTTCTTTCACTTGGTTCATCTCTATGTCTTAGCTCTTGATGCAACAAAGCATTAGGACATTCCGAACGCATCAAGAATGACTGCTTTGCAGACTCAGCCTCATTGCGAGCACAGAGCATGCAATATGCACAGCATCGAAGCAGATTGAAGCATATCGCAGCATGTCGACGCAGAAATTGTAGCCGAAATGTAGCTTGAAGCTTTGTTACTGCGTACTATTGTGTACTGTGTCACCTATTTCCTAGATTATCGTTGTTTTCAGGCTACTTCGATCTTCGGTGGACCAAGTGATAGGCATCGGCATCAAAGTGCAAAGTTGTTTAACATTGTAAATCTGTTTACATAACCAATTTGTTTAACAAAGTTGTTACTAAATTTGTTACCTTTCACGAAGGCTGCGAGCAAGACACAGGGTTTGATTTGTCAATGCACAGGATATGTGCCCGTTCTGCAGTGTTCTGCTACACAAATGCACGGATCAACAGACCAAACTACCAAAAGCCATCACCCGGGCAGCCCGGGCATACCCAATATCTTGAGTGAACCCTGAGGTCTTTTTTCTTTTGAGCATTTGCTGATGTTTTCCTGAGATTTCCTGAACAAAAGATGGCTGTACTGGAAGGCTTGGACCCGCGGCCGTGCGACTGCCATGATTTAATCATGTAAGTCTTGTGGCTGCTTTGACTCAACAAATAGCCAGCACTGGCACCACAGAGGCCTTGGTTCCCCAGAGCGTAGAATGCCAAGCGTTCCAATGCTGGAAGAAGTCTGTCACACAGTCTCGTGCCAGGCCTCAATCGCGATCAGATCGGTCAGATCGATCAGCAGAGACAGGAAAGTCTTCAGGAAAGTCTTCATATAGATACTGGGTACGCTGCGGCAATGCTATGGGCAGCTGTCTCACCTTGCATCATGATGATCCATGATGTGTTGGTGGAACGGTGAACGACGGTGAGACCGTTTCCGGAATAATTGGGTGAACCAGATGAATTGAAGCATGGAATGTTAACTATGTGAACTGGAATGAATTGCAGTGAACGCTCCGTGAGAATTGTGACGGATTAAGAAGAAGAATTCCGAGCAAAACCACCATTTGAGACTTGTGCTACTTGATGTGGAAAGGGAGTTGCATATATGCACCCCTTAGCAACGCATTCACGCATGCCTATGTGACAAAATCGAACTGATGTTTCTACCAATGAAGTTACTCAACTGTACTTCGAGGAATTCAGTTTGCCAACAACTGACATGAACTTAACATGTCATTCTCCAGCCGTGGGTCAGGGTAAAATATCTTGACTGACGAACTGTTTGGGTCAAGAAAAGTGTTTGGCGCCCATCGTGCGTTTTGCGGGTTTTGCCATTGGACATCACTTTTTCTGCCACTTTTGTGGTTATCAGCCGCAAGGCTCTTTTTATTTTACAATTCCTCCAAGGAAGGACATTTCAGACCAGTTTTCTGAGGGTCTGTGGGCATCAATTACAATCGGCAGAGGGGGCAGACGGGGATTCGGTCAAAAGGCATTTTTTCGTGAAAAGGGAATCGCCGAGGGTAAGCTGTCAAATTCTTACCCGTTTGTTTTGGACGAATCTTATTGTCAGGAGGCTGGTGCTTTGGTAAGACGTGATCAGATTGAGCTGCACGCACCTCCGAGGCCGAAGTCACCGCCGGGTCCGCCACCGAAAGCGGCACCTTCTGCGCCATCTACTGCGTCTTCTTCGTTTGTTAATCCTTATTTGACTTCTTCGGACAGCGTTACACCGGTAACTTCAGTTCCAGCAGAGCGGTCAACAGAAGAGGAATCATCGACGAGGGCGAAGGCAAAAGCCAAATTTTCAACATCTTCATCAAGTGCTCGGGTTGCAACAGACGCTCCGGAGCAGAGGATCTTGGAATACAGGCCTAGGTTTGGTCGATCACAGTTGATTTATAAACTTTACGCCGGACAGACTAATAGTCAGGAGGTAGTTCAGTTTCAACTTGGTGACAAACCTTTATCTCAAGCACGTGTGTTATTTTTGGACTGGCATCAGTGTGTTGACCGATCACCGCAAGGTACAACATACAATCTGGGTCGAGTGCCAACAGATAACATCCGTTTCTTAGCAAACTGCATAGAAGCAGCAGACCGTGCCAATCGAGCTTTCTTCATAGTGATCTTGTCATACATTGACACCGATCGCAGGTTGCAGGAGGTTCTTGGATACGTAAACAATTCAGCAGGTATCAGTACATTTGTGAGCTTTCTTCTAATCACACGTACCGAACGTGTGTGGGAAAAGGGCAAGTGTTCGGCAGTTCAGGACCTGTTGGAGCAAACTGGGCTCTGTGAGTCTCAGATATTTTTCGTGGACGACACCTGTGAGGTTATCACAGAGTTCTACGATTGTACTCCTCAAATTTCTTTGGCACACATCAAGTTGGGTAGAAAGCCCTCCGCTGGTCGGTCGATTCCACAAGCAAAGTACTTGACCGATACATTGCCATTGATTCAGGAGTGGTTGCAAAGGTAAAAGGAGTACCCCTTACCGTGAGGTCGTAGCATCCTTTACCCCAATCAATAGTAGCAATGTCTTCTTTTGAACCAGTAATGAGTAATGATGGTTTTGACTCATCGGAAACCGATAGATCAAGATCAGTGCATGGAATCAATGCTATGCAAGTTGCACCACAGAACCAAACACCCTCAGTGTCAGATTCGCAATCAAGATCATCACCTGAAACTAGGGCAGTTCCTTCAAGGGCAAGTCCAGAAACCAGGATTGTCCAACCGAGTGTCAGTCCTGATACCTTGTCAAATTTCTTGAGGGAAGATTCAAATCAAGGGTCACCAGGTTTGCCGCAAAACCCATTCCAGGGTCCTCCAGCAGCCAGCGGTCCGGGTCCGTCATTTGTTTCTCAGACAAATGTCAAAAATGAGTTGCATGTGAACATGGATCCATATACAATTGCACAAGCCAATCAAGCCATCCAACAAGCTCGTGAGGGTTTGAGAGCAGAGGCTATGCAATACGTTGATGCTGAGAGGGGGATTGCTAGGAATGAAGCTTTAGCGTTTGCCGAGCATGTCCATTCAGAAGCTTCAAGGGTAGTTGAGGAGTCCCAGTCAAGAGTAGTCCAAACTCAACAGGAGCTCCAAGAAGCCAGGGGTGAAGCATCTCAGGTTGTTCGACTTGCCCAGCAAGAGATTGAGACTGTAAAGGCACAAGCTAGGGAAGAATTCCTTAAGATTCAAAGAGAAGCTCAATCCCACATTTCAAACTTGGAGGGTAGGCTTAGTGAGTTGATCCATATGAATCAATCAATGACTAAGAAAATGAATGAACAAGCCCAGTTGATTGAAATGTTTACCAAGCGAATCGATGGTCAAAATACTGTGATTGCCCAAATGCAGTCAGAAGCCATGAGATCACCAATAGGAGCCGATAATGGTACGGAGTTCCAAATTAGCACACCAGTCGGTCGTCATGCCAGCCTAAGAGACACCGGTCAAAGGGTTGAGCCGATGCTTGATTTGTCCTTGTATGCTCAGGAACCGAGCCCAGTGCAAGGAGGAGTGCAGCCACTTGGCTCCCCTCCAAGGGCAGGGAAAGAGGTTGTTGACCACAAGGGTTCAAAGAAATCAAGTAAGTCCCAAAAGCCTCATGTTGATTCAGTCATTTCTCAGATGAAGTTGTTGATAGATGGATTGGAAAACAAAACCCCAAAAGCACCTACTGAAGGGTCCCGGTCAAACAAATCATCCGGATCGTCTTCGTCAAAGAGTTCGAAAAAGGGTGGTAGTCCAGGAGGGTCAAGTGATGGATCCCCAAAACCTAGTAGGTCATCCAAGTCGTCAACATCGTCGTCCGAAAGTGAGGTTGACATGTACGCGAAAGAAAAGAAAGCCATGAGAGTGAAGGGATATGATGGCATTAAGTTCCCACCAATACCAAAGAATGCTGCCGAAGCAAGGGGGTATCGAAATAGTGTTTACTCAGCCATTTGTAAATTGCCCAAGAAAGACGAGTCCGATGTATTCAATTGGATTTCAGCATGTAACAATGTTGATTCGGTTGCCGAACTTCCACCGGGAAGATTTCCAGTTTTGGACAGGACCGTAGGACACAAGTTGCTTGAGTCAGCCCGACACACCCGTTTTTCATTGGATTTCCAGACTATGCAAGAAGCATACCAGAGGAAAGGGAAACAGCCATCAGGAAGACACCTTTTGTGGCACGTTTTTCAAAAGTTCAAATTGGACAAAGACCGCGGTGCTGCATTGTCTCAACATCATCTTTTAGCCTTGAAATTGGAAGGATCTACTATCAAGTCCATCGTTGACTTCAAGTCCAAGTTCGACTACTGTGCAGGATCGCTTGAGCAGGTTGACATGCCTTCAGATTCAGCACTTAGATCGTTGCTATTCGAGAATCTCAAGAGTCACCCCAAGATGGCTTTGGCAATTGATAAGTTTAGGGAGGCTAAGTCAGGTTCTTCGAAGCGCACTTGGACATGGTTGTACCAGAAAATGGAAGAAGCCATCGAGATAGATCAGCTGTATGAAAATACTGGTCATGTTGAGAAGGCTTTGCAATCATCAGGAGGTCACAAGGTGAATGCAGGTCCATCCAAAGCTGAGAAAGGTGAGAAAGACAAGCCAACCAAAACCAACAAACCAAAGGAGGAAAAGGGCAAGAAAGACAAAGAGAAATCTTCGGAAGAAAAAGGGAAAAAGGACAAGGAGAAATCTGGCAAGACCAAGAAGGAAGGTCAGAAACAGGCATCTGAAGCGGCGTCTTCCTCAGTGAATGCTGCGCCTAGCACTTCCAAAGGAAGTGGCAAAGGTAAGAAGCCTGGCTCCGGTAAAAGTCCACCTTTGACACCCGAGGAGAAAGCTCGTGAGCCCTGCATGTACTTTGCATTTGACAGTTGCACCAAGGGCGACAAATGCCCATACTTGCATGATAAGAACCATATGTACTCAGGCCCAAAACCCAAAGCATTGTCCAAACCAACCACAGCAGCAGGTTCAGCCACAGTGCACGCAGGTGTCGCACAAGTCTTGACAGGTTTAGTTGCTTCCAGTTCGGTAAAAGGGGCAAAGGGTGATGTGAGCAGCAATGCTCCTCATCCGCAGGAGCCACAAGATGCATCGTCCAGCTTCATGAACCAGGCTTGGAAGACCTCTCGGTCAAGTGTTGTGGAAGGGGCAGCTAGGGGCAAAAGGGTCATGAAGGATCTTAAGATCAAAGGTTCGAGTCATTTTGTGTTTGGCAAAGCTGTTAAGTGTATTGCAGCAATGATGGCCGTTTGCAATCCGTTGAGTAGTCATCAGCAAGAATTTCTGATTGATTCAGGAGCAGGGAGAAATCTAATTTCTCAGAAAGATCTGCCTGTGGAGTGGCACAGTCAAGTCTCAGAAGCACCGGAACGTTTGAACTTCGCAACTGGAGGAGGTGTAAAGTCAAGTTCTAAAGCTGTTCGTTTGAAAGGTGAACTTTCTGGGGAAGGTGTGTTTTACACCCTAAAGGATTGTCCAGCAGCAATCTCCCTAGGACAGCAAGTGAATGAACATGGCCGTGCATGGATATGGTTTCCAAATCAGTTGCCATTCTTTGTCAAGTCAAACCGTTTGTCTGACATAACATTCCATTGTCCTGAGAGTGCCAAAATCTATGCAAATCGTGTCGTCGAAAATGTACCAATACTGTCAGAGTCCGTTGAATGTCTTGCAATGCCAGCAAAAGAATCGCATCTTTCAGCTGCAGAGCCTGGCGAGAAGCTCCCAAATGCTCCGCCAGAGGGAGGTGATGAAGAGTCCAAAGCAGAAGCGCCAGAGGACATTTCCAAAGCGCCTGTGTCAGTAGATCCTTCAGCTGTTGGTAAATCATCCGGAACCGATAGAGATGATTTAATCATTAGCAAAGTGGGAGAACCTGTGGATGAATATACACCAACTTCCCCAGCTGAAACTCCTAGGGAAATGCCCGAAGAAGGGGGGTCACCGGATGATGCGCATTTTTCAGAGGATGATGGGGCTGATGCACACAAAATGTTGAATCATTCACTAACCCATTATCCCAAAAGCAAACATTGTGAGATTTGTAAAAGGGCTAAGATGACATCAAGATATCACCGAAGAAGGGGGGAACCAGACCTTGAAGAAACGCCACCACTGCACTTTGGTCATATGATGAGAGTTGACCATATTGTGATTGGAAGTGATTTGTCAAAAGGGTCAGAAGGCGAACAGGCTTGCTTGATTTGTTTTGATGAATACAGTGGAGTCTATCAAGCGTTTCCCCAAACTTCAAGAGCAACACCCAACAATGTAGCATGTTTGCGGAAGTTCGGAGGGTCAAAATCCCATGGTCGTGCGCTGTGCTCAGTGAAGTCCGATGCTGCTGGCGAGCTTACCGAAGCAGTCAAGCAGTTGGGATGGCTACCGGAGCCAGGAATTCCCAATGATCCGTACCACAATGCGAAGCTTGAAAGCAATATTCGTAGGATCAAAGAGGGCACTAGGGCAGTGCATTTGGCCGCAGGATTTCCGCATGAACTTTGGCCTAGAAGCATTGAATATTTTTGTGTAGCCAAAAGTTTCACGACCTTTGCTCCAATTCACCCAAATGATTCAGAGGATTCTAAGAGGTGGAAACAAGGTTTAACTTGCTACGAAGTTGCAAACGGTGGGGAACCATTTCCGGGGTTGAAGATACCACTTGGGTCATTGGTATACTATAAGCCTGCCCAACACACCAACAGACCAGCTTTTGAAGCTAGAACTTTGCCAGGGATTTTTGTCGGATGGAGAATCGATGCAGCTTTCAGGCATAGGAAGGTCCACCTTGTTCTCAACTATGAAAGTGTTAGGTTGAAGTCAAAGGGTTTTGGCAATCCAATACAAGTGCATGAGAGTGAGCTTGTTGTCCCAGAAAATCCGATTTTTCCTTTGTTTCAAGCTGAGAAAGCCAAACTTGAAGGTGGGTCAGGTGATTTGCCGAAAATCGAAATTCCGTTTGAAGAGGGCAAAGCCCCTCCAACGCCCAGTAGATCTCGCAAAACCTACGTCACACTCGACAGAGCCATTCGGTTCGGTAAGACCGTAGGCTGCAAGGGTTGTGACAGGATTTCAGAGAGAGTCCGCCATTCGGACGCATGTCATGAACGGTTTCGAATGTGCCTTGAAAAGGAAAGAGAAGAAGCTGAGCTTAAAGCTCGAGAGGCCATAGCAGCTAAAGAGGCAGCAGGTGCTCGAGAGTTTGATGAAATTGCAGCAAATCTTTTCGAATCTCCGCATGAACCAGATGTTCCAGCATCACAAGCTCAACCGAAGAGCTCTGAACCCCAAGGTACCGACTTTTGGGAATATGATCAGGAAAACGGTGCATGGTGTAAAGTTCATGTTAGGCCTAGAAAGAGACTCTTCGCTCCAGTTGGTAATGACTGCCCTTTCAATGCAAAAGAGATCACCTCAAAAAGAGTAACTGAATGGCGTTGTAGGAACAAGGTTTCTATTCATCGAGATGATTGGCAGATCAATCCCTACCAAAGAATTTGCTCACGAAGTTGGACCGGTAAAACCTGGTTTTTCCCATCTGCGTCAGTTGACGAAAGACGTGCTAAGGTGCAGGCAGCAGTCGCGAACGCAAAAGCGGAAAGGATGTTGTTGAGAGGCGTTGAGGCAGCTGAACTTATGATGGAGGGAATCCCCAAAAACCAAAAGGAATCCTTGAATGCGATGTTGTCGCAAGTAGATGTCATGGACCATTCTCAGGCTAGAAAGCAAGCCAAAAGCATCCAACCGGCGATGTTTGAGTTTTGTTGTTCAAATGAGTCTACTCTTGGAAAAGTAAATGGAGAAAAAGGGGTTACCCATTTCAGATTGAGTAAGGATGCTACTGATCTCACTAATCCTGATGATGTGAAATCACTAAAGCTGTTGATCAAAAGGTTTCCAGGTTGCCATCTATGGGGTTCGCTACCGTGTGATCCATGGTCAAAATGGCAGAGCGTCAACGTAGCCAAATATGGAAAGGCTTTTGCAAAGAAACTTCGAAAGAGGCAAGACCTCTCAAGAGTCCTGCTTAGCCATTTCATAGAAGTTGCAGAACTTGTCCTCGAACAAGGGGGTCATATCTCCTTTGAATGGCCGAAAGGGGCCAAGGGCTGGATGTTGCCGGAGTTGGTCGCATTCATGAAACGCCATAAGCTTTTCATAGCTGAATGTCATGGATGCCATTTTGGAATGCAAAGTTCAAAAGGTAGACCAATGTTCAAGCCATGGCACATTGCAACTTCGTCCTATCGTTTGGCAGTTAACCTGAACAAATGTAGGTGTCAACATGCGAGTGGATTCAAACATGATCATGCAAGGGGAAGTGAGACGCCCAAGACAGCATTCTATCCTGAAACAATGTCAAGGACAATCAGCGAATGCCTGTTTCCAGAAGCCGTGTTTGCAATGCCAGTGATAACCAAATCAAGTGTGGTGAGCCACCCGGCTCCGCACCAATGTAACTCGAATGTTGGCAGTCATGAAGTTCAGCATCAGCAAATCCTTGCCACGATGAATGCACTTACATCAGAATCCAAGCACACTCCCAATCAACCGGATCCCCATTCTGTCTATGCAGGCATCCATATGTTGCTGGATAGAAAAGATTGGCACAAACATCCGGGATGGGAGGAAGCCATCGCAAAAGAAGCTGGTGGTATCCTCGAAAATGGGACTTGGAATTATGATGAAGTTGTTGCAAGAGAAGATTTGTTGAAAAGAAAGACTCCAGTGCACGTGGGTAGGTTGATGACCATCCTGAGTGTGAAACACTGGGAAACACCTGAGCTTCGAAGGCTTAAGGCCAGGATCGTCTTCCGAGGAGATGACATTCGAGATCAAGATAACAACATCGCTGTGTTACAGGAAGCAAAAGTCAACCCATCTGGCTTAGCTGGCATCAATGCTAACTTAGCTTACGGTTGCATGAAAGGCAATTGCACATCCCAAAGCGACGTTGTGCGCGCTTATACGCAAAGCTTCTTGAACACTCAGGTTCCTACTTGGGTAGAACTACCCAGTGAACTTGTTCCAGAGAAGTTCCGTGGGATCAAACGTCCTTGTGTGAGATTATGGAAATCGCTATACGGGCACCCAGAGGCAGGATTTCACTGGGACCAAAGGTTCAAGGAAATAATGAGTAGTTTAGGAGCAGTGCATTGCGCAGACACCTTTCAATCAACCTACTACATGAAAAGCACGAAACTCATGCTCACGCTCTATGTTGATGACATACTGTTGAGTGGACCACAAGAAAACCACAAACAGTTTTGGGAGATGATCCAAAAACACATAGAGATTGAGGATCCTACCCCTGTTGACAGAGTCTTAGGAAGGCGTCATATCATAGAAAGGGACGAAAATGGAGCATCAATGAAATTTGACATGTCAGACTTTGCCAAGAATGCATGTGCCACCTATGAGGAACTCAGCGGATGCACGTTAAAGTCTGCGTCAACACCATACTTGCCAGACGGATCATTGGTAGACAGTGATTTCGATGAAAGAGGATGTATGGCTAATGATGCTTCAAAAGTGCTCATGAAGATCCTTTGGAGCGCCAGATTGGCGCGCCCAGATCTGATGAAAGGCATATCAGATTTGACAAGAAAGATCACCACTTGGTCCCGAGCAGATGATCGACGCCTATTCCGACTGATGTCGTATCTGAAAGGTACTGCACATTTCATGTTAGAAGGCCACATCAGGGATGATCCATCAATGTTGCATTTGTGCTTGTATACAGACAGTGACCATGCTTCCGGCATCGAGGATGTGAAATCCACATCAGGTATGATTCTAGCTCTAGAGGGCCCAGATTCATATTGGCCATTATGTTGGAGCTCTAAACGCCAAGGAGCGACCGCTCGTAGCACATGTGAGGCAGAGATAATTTCTTTAGATTCAGGGGTTTTTGGAGAAGCCGTGCCCATGCAAGACTTGTTTGATTTGATATTAGACAGGCCCGTGCATTTGATTTGTCAGCAAGACAATGCCGCAGTCATACAAATCGTGCACGGAGGGTACAGCGCGAAACTTCGCCATATGAGAAAGATTCATAAACTGAATCTCTCAGCCCTGTATGAACTCTTTAGAGACCCAGCTATCACACTGCAATATATCAAGACAGCATTGCAGCGAGCGGATCCGTTCACTAAGGCACTTGAGCCCTGCAAATGGATGACAGCACTTGAACTCATGAACATTTTGCCTTCAGAAATTCCCCTCAAAGCTTAGACTCCGCAGTCAAGCTACGCAGCATAAGAAGGGGGAGAAGAAGAATTCCGAGCAAAACCACCATTTGAGACTTGTGCTACTTGATGTGGAAAGGGAGTTGCATATATGCACCCCTTAGCAACGCATTCACGCATGCCTATGTGACAAAATCGAACTGATGTTTCTACCAATGAAGTTACTCAACTGTACTTCGAGGAATTCAGTTTGCCAACAACTGACATGAACTTAACATGTCATTCTCCAGCCGTGGGTCAGGGTAAAATATCTTGACTGACGAACTGTTTGGCTCAAGAAAAGTGTTTGGCGCCCATCGTGCGTTTTGCGGGTTTTGCCATTGGACATCACTTTTTCTGCCACTTTTGTGATTACGCTCATATCGTTCAAAGATCACTGCCAGGCCATGGACTTTGATGGTGTTCAGCCCAGACATGGCAAAACCAAAGGTAAAGCATCATTTTGCAGATCCAAATCTATTCGAACTATTCGAACTGTGCACAGTGGATGACTTGGATTTGAGTCATTTGAGGTACATCTTACATCCCTATTTCCGAAGACGGATCCATGAACAGTCATGAGCAATGGACTTGAGGCTTGAGCGTGGTATTTCGTTCGTTGTTGGAACGACAATGTTGGTGACTGAAAAGGGGTGCGTTCAGAATAAAGTTTAGTAGCGCATGATGGCGCTACTTCTCAAACCTCTACGCGTTCGGCCGAGGTTCAGAACGCGGTGCCTTGAAGTTTGAGGCCAGAGAAGAATATAGATATATGTACAGACAATAACCTACAGATATGAATAGCGTGAACTTGAAGACATATTTGCTTCATGTCTTTACGTTGCTGTTTATATTGATAATATGCAGTTGTATTTTTGAAATTATGTTTTTTTTTGGTACTAATCTGTGCATGTTTCCCTAGGTCGTGCGTGTTCAGAAATGCGAGGGAGCTAGACCTTCAAAGGGATGGCTTCAGGAGAAGCTTGGCGTTTGCGTGGCTGCCAGGGCTGCCAGTCAGATGCTTCCAGCATTGGCGTCCACACATTTCCCGCAGTTCTACAGGAGCTTGAAGCAGAGCTGGAAGGTGACCGGGCTGACCAGGCTGACCAGGGCACCCAGGACATCAAGGATTCGAATTTCTTTAATTTCTGAGTCGATTTCTATTTTGAGTGAGTCATTTTCGGACAGTTATATCAGTTATATTGCCAACGCTTCAGAAAGCAGGCCAAAGAAGCTTGAGCAGAGACGCCCATCAAGAGTATGGAAAATGAGAGACGACCTGCGGTGGCAAGCCATAGCAAGGCTCAAAGCTGAAAATTGCAGGTGTTTGCAAACGGTGTTTGCTGATGTTTGCAGCCTTAATGCAAATCAAAGTTTGTATCGCCGTATCGCAGAGTCTGGCTCATCGCCATGATATGTCATGATTGTTTATTCCGAAGTTGTCACATTTTGAGAGATGAAGCATTACGCGATGAGTTGTGGATGGTTTCACTTTCAAAGAAATTATACTGAACGGATCTGAACGGCATGCTATCACTGGTAAAGCGGGATCTGAATTGCTAAAGGCTCTTGTGAGTGCGGGCACACTGCAGAAGACTTTGGTTTTATATACAGACTTTTTGAGAGTTCCCTGCCATTGTGTAAAGGCAAGATACCTATGTTTCACCAGGCACAAATAGTCTTATTTGATCCCTGGAGCTAATCAGCTCACACAATTCGCATTTGTCCAGCAGGACGATTTAACGCACACAGGCTCATTAGCATTGGCACTAGATTTGACCGTCCTGTGAGTGTCCTTTCAAGGTGAGCCAATGCACCAGCATGTTTTTCTTTGAATTATTGATGTTTACACATGTTTTCTGCTTCATTTTTGCTTCATATGCTTCACTCCTTGGAAAGCCGATGTCTCTACTAGGTGATATGCGACGAACTGCCTCAAGCTCAGAAGCTCCAAGTTTCAGCTTGGCTGAACTTCATTGCTGGGTACCACAGTGAAGCTGTTAGATTGCTTTACCAAGACAAATCCACCCTGCAGGTGATGCGATTTGCGCAAAAAACAAGCCAGCGACATGGTGAAAGGCAGGTCCTAAGATTCCAAGAGCCTTGAGAAGTGAATTCCGTCTTTGGCCATGGTTTGAACTTAGCACTTAGCACTGTACGGCTCACCCAATGAAACGAGAAAGATGAAACGGCATGATGGATTTGGGGAGCCCGTGGCCAAGAGGCAAGGAAGCGTAATTTGATAAGTATTGAAAAGTACATGGCACCAACGATGCAAAAGAATATGGTGGGTGAAGAAAGCAAGCGGGTCCTCAGACCTTGTGCACTTTGCACCCGGCACCTGCACATATACTACATGCGAATGCATGCTCAGGAACTGATGGCTGGTATCCTTGGGATGGTTCCTTTCACCAGCTTTCCAACCTAGCAATTCCAGCCAGCTTGGGAATTTCTGTGGTTCTGGCCATTTGAAACTGATGTTTTGAAAGCCTTGATTGCGCTGCATGCGATACATGCTAGTTGAAAGGAACTATATTTGCATGTATTTGCAATTCGCTTGTCCACAGATCTTCAGGGCCATAGAGTGCCAGAAAGTTCCTCAATCTACGTGAAACAGTGATAAACGATTTAATTATTCATGATCACACACAATTACATACGTATATATATATACATATATATATATACATACACGGTATACGTACACATACATACATATATATATACAATTATATATATACACACACACATATATATATATGTATATACACATAAAATTAGCTATGCTACTTGAGATCACAGCCAGAGAAACATGGCATCAGCTGCCGCAGCAGCATCCTGTGTGGCAGCGACGCCCTGGCTCACATGGCACCCAGGAAACGCCCGTTATGTGACGCAGTAGATGTTGGTTCCTGAAGTATTCAACCCCAACACCTACTGCTACAAGTATTTGGGGAATTCGCCTCATACGCGTACAAAATGCAGTATGAAGTTTGTCTCATCGGCGTTTGATGATAGTCGATTACATAGATTCTTGAATCCAGGATCACCTTTTCAAAGATCCCTTTGACCAAGAAGTCCTCTCCAAGATCTAATTGTTCAGAAGTGCTGGTGCTCGAAATCTTGCCACTCCAAGCACAGACGTATCCGGGGCACCGAAGAAGTCCACTGACATGTGCCAGCACTGTCCAAAAACGAGAATCCAAACATGTCTCCAGTGCTGCGACCGCGATAAAACCTAAGCCTCGACTTCGACCTGCTGCTGACCTTGTAATGTTTGTGAACTGCGCTGAATCGGTGTGAAGGCTAGACAGCTCTTCCGGGTTTCCAGATGCTGCTCAGTGTGCCTGGCATGGAAGCGATGCTTCAGGATTTCACAAGAGGGCATACAGAATCATACAGATTTACTTTGAAGAATTTATACGGATCTTTGTCTTGGTGAACGGACACATTGAGAAAAAAAGATTAGTGACGCTTAGCTTGACAGGTGGGCTTTGACTGTGGGCCTTGGCACGTTGATACCGGGCTTTGCATTGTTCAAGTCTGCTTCTCTGGTTGACCTAGCTTTTGGAAAAGACTGATATTGCTTGTTTTGCAACAATTTTGGTCCTCTTGCATCAAGGCTATTCACTGTCACTGGAGCAGTGGAGGCAGAGAAAGGAGCACAGGAGGAGCACATGTGCAACCAAGAAAAGAACAATATCAATTTCATGAATTTTCATGACATTCCCAGGAGCTGGCTCGACACCAAAGACACCAGGAAGCTGCTTGATCCTTAGATTTGTGGTGGAAGGTATTGCACTGCACTAGAATTTATGTTCCCGAGCTTACAATTTTTTGGCAAGTCATATCCCACCAACATCTGATCCACACATGTATATCATGTATGTAAAAAATATAGATACAGCTGCTCATACATTTGTATGTTTCTGCTGGTTGTGCTTTTGCTTTGATTGGTGAAGTGTGTCAAGTTAACTTTTATTGCATGAGGCATCACTGAGGACCAAACGGTTCGAACACTTGTGGTTATCCATTCATCCAACTATATTATACATAATATATATATATATATTTTATTTGTTTTATTTATTTATTTATTTTGGTTGGAACATTTTGGCCACGAGTTTGTTCCTTTCCAGCTTTTCTTTTCCCTTCCGAAATCCAAAACACGGTCAAGTTGGATTTGCATTTTGAACGACTGCTCTGACAGGGAAGATCCAGGGGGAAGCTGCAAAGTCTGCAAAGTGTTGTTGAGTGCTAGTTGGACCCACGGATGCCATGCTGAATGGTGTATTGTCGGGCCGGGAGGCAGCCTGTGTCTGAGTATTTCTTTGGTGGATCCTGCTCTTTCTGTAAGGGCCCAGGGGAGGGCTATCAATGCAGCCTTGTGTCGGAAGGGTGACGGAAAGTATGTAGATGGTTTGGAAAGTCCGTATTCCTTTGTATGTTTTCTCTTGAAAGCAGAATCTTGCCTTCAAAAAGCTGTACGACTGCTGGTGTGCACTTAGTGTGCGATCAAGATGTCTAAACATAGAGATCATCACGTTGCCGAGTCTTGCCAGGTTTTCGTATAGAACTTTCCCTGCTATCATGGTATCAGCTCAAGTGCCGACAGGTGTTGGTTTCTTAACTTTTGAGTGGGGTGCTCACAGTGCTTCAGTTTTCACAATTAGTCGTGCAGATGTTTCAAAAGACTACAACTTGCTTGGCATGGGGAAATCTATGTGCGCGTCATTGCTTTTTATACACACACATACGCCCGCACACATGTTGGTATCCCCAGTTGGCATTTGCTCTGCTACAAAGATGTTTTGCTCCATTCTGATATGAACTCTTTGGCTGGAGTTCGACTCCTGACGAACCGACTGTTACTGTACGGTTGATATCGGTTGATTGTTGGCCTCCAATTTTCTGCCTTTGTTAAACTTCGTTGTGTCATTTTGAAAGCAACAATTCCTCCGCCATGAGTGACAAGGGGCTGGAGAGCAGGCTTATGCTGTGCAAGCGCCACCTGGACGGCATGAAGTGAAGAGTTCGAAGAGTTCTCTTACTGTGTAGCACTGTGTAGCACACAGGATGCAACAGTGTCGCCTTGGAGACTTTTGGAGAAGCAAAGACTTTTGCAAAGCGGAAAAAATCCTTTGCCAAAATGAGTGCCCGGAGTGCCTTGGGCCGAAAATGATCTTGAAACACTTTAATCTAGGCCCATGTGGAGTGTGAGAATTGGAGATGGTTGCGTTCGATCTCTGCAAAAGGTCTCTTCAGAAGACTGCAAAAACCCTGTTCCACCTTGGGGGGATGTGTGGGATCTCTGCAAGATCTCTTCACAAGACCCTTCAGGAGACTTTCTGTGTCCAAGGACTTTTTCAAGATATGTTGAAAGGATCCCTAAAGGGTCTCCTTAGAAATTCCCTCTGCTAGAGGATCTCTATAGAAGGTTTTTTTTCCCCCACATCCTCGAAGACCTTAGCAGTGTGGCACATAGACTCTTTAAGGATCTCTTTGTGATCTCAAAGAGAAGCTCTAGATGTATTCCCCTGAGAATCACGGTTTCAACCCAGAAAAAGAGTATGGCCTGCCACGAAAAATTGGACCTAGGCACCTGCCACACCGAGTGATCCCAAGATAGCAGATCAAATAGTGACACCCCTTTCACAAAACCAGCGTTGTGCAAGGAGTGGCCTGCCACGTAAAATTCCATCATGTTTAAATCTGTTTAAATCATATTTCCAGGACTTCTAAAACCGATCCGCACTTGCCGCTATTTTACCATCTACACCAAAAGCTGTGATTGCCACACGAAACGATGTTTCAGATTCCAGACCTTCAACTCGAAAAGTGTTTGACATGACGCACTTGCCGTGCAGAGTACTTTCACAGCAAGAACGCTCTTTGGGAAACCGACACTGTTTCATGCAAGCCTGTGCAGTCGAATGAACTTCGAGGATCTGACAGGGTTTTGTTAACTCGAACCACGACCAGAACCCTGGCTCAACCTCATCGTAATAGCCCCTTGAGTTGCCCATGGTGTTTGGGGAATGACTCATAATGACTATTAGTTTGCTCAATCTGACGGAAATGAAAGCGACTGAGCAGAAGCAGGAGCCAAACGGCATAAGCACTTCAGCAGCAAAGTAGGGAAGGTGGCAAATCGCGAGAATTAGGCTGTTCTTAGGCGCAACCACACCCCATTGGACCACGTTTAGAAAGTCAGTTGAGCAGCGTCAAAAACCTTCAAGGAAGTCAGAATGTTATATGGGGATGAAACTAAGTTGGGCCCGCGGAAGTGAAACTCACCCAGGTTTGGCGGCAGCAATAGTGGCACAATTAGTGAAGTTCGTGAAGTGGCACGTGTAGCTTTACTGTGGAGTGTTGGCGGTCATGGCTTGCGATCAAGGAACGAAGGAGGTCGAAGCAGGGTTTCCATTTCCCAAAGGTCCCATCAAAAGAATTGCAATCAGCGTGGGCCAGGAGACAATTCCACAATGCAACTAGTAAGAGAAAGGGATAGAAAGGGAAAGCCCCGGAGAGTGGCCAGGGCCCCCACTTTTCTACACTGAAGCATGCCGCAGCTTTCGAGATCAAAGGGCAAGGCCTGTCCCCTCTGCTGACAGGTGGGGCTGTGGCCGTTCAGGGACCAAGTTGTAGGGAATCGGAGCTAAAGTGGTGGTTGCAATAAGTTGTTTTGATATTAGATATGTTTTAGTCAGTTTATCTGTCGCCAGGTATACCCCCGAAATTGTCCAGATGCTGAATCAGAGCCAAAGGGCATAAACTTGGCAGAACTGTTACAGTCTTTGGGACATGCAGAAGATGACGGTGGAAAAATAAAAGAGTCACACGCAAACACATACGCACGTATGTGCACGTATAAATATATAGATATACACATATATCATCGAAGGAAGTTTAGAAGTCAAACTTCCAACAATATGGACAGATGAAAAGCAGAGATGGGAAGAGTCAGAGAGAAGAGAAGAGTAGAAGAGAGAAGATCAGAGAAGAGAAAGAGTCAGAAGAAAGAAGATGCAGATGCGCGAAAAGGTAGGAAAGTCGCGAAACACTGTGTTTTTCCAATGATTTGTGGCTCCTGAGGTCGAAAAGTAGGCTCGCGAAAGCGGCGGGTGCGGAGCCATCTGGCCAGATGAGAGATGACAAATTGCACGCCGTTTGTGGCGCGAAGCACATTTCGAAGTCAAAATGCACAAAGCACACCAGGTTCGGAGCGCTTTTGGAAGTTGAGATGTCGAAAAAGTGCACGCCGTTGTGGCGCGAAGCACATTTCGAAGTCAAAATGTAGAAAACACACCATTCACGGACCACTTTTGGAAGTTGAGATGTCGAAAAAGTGCAAGCCGTTGTGGCGCGAAGCACATTTCAAAGTCAAAATGTTCAAAGCACACCATGTACGGACCACTTTTGGACGTTCAGATCTCGTTTCGCGTGGCAGGCGCAAGGGATTGTGCATCTGGTCAAAAGTGAGCAAAACGTGAGGGTTTTGTAGCATGTCCAATTTGATGGCAGGCGTGGGACATTTGAAGAGGATCTGCAAAGATGCATTTTCCATGGCAGAGTACAAGGTGAGGGCGCTGATTTCCTGAGAAGGGTGGCATTTTGGAGCATCAGATCTTCAGGTTTGCTGAGATGATTTTGCGTGACAGCGGCAGCGTCTGCCTCGTTGCCACACTCAGTCAGGAACAGTTCAACATCCTGAAAGTCCACCTCGCTCAGATTCGGTGGAAGGTCTTCTTCTAGGATTCCTCGAGGTTCCACCAGATGTGCACTTGCCGCTGACTTGCGTCGTGACACGACAAAGTCTGGATAGTAGGAGCGCATCGACAGGGCCATGGTGTGGAACTTCAGCTCACCTTGCGTGCGGGCCAACACCACTGCACGCTTCTCCTCATTCAATCCACTGCATTGAAACAAGATCCATCGCCTAGCTTCATCGGGGAATGACGCGCCAGCTTTTCTCTTGCAGGGGTCGAAGCATTCACGAGCCCTTCCGCACCATTGACGAACCGTCTCACAATCCTTGGCCTTGAGGCCGAAGATCTCCGAGATGTGCTCACCCATCTCATCACTGCGTTCCTTCTGAGGCCATCGTTCATCCAACAGCTTGGAAATCACTTCATCTCCACCCTGATAGTCGGTATCAGACAGGTGTTCCACCACCTTCAACGCTCGGCCCTGGAGGAGCGTCCACGCGAAGCTACCCCTTGCTTTGATGACCCATTGTTTCCACCGATTGTATTCTCGGTGATCCACATCAACGCCCCCAAAGAAATATTTCAGAGAGGCGCCGATTTCTGCTATGGCACCTTCCTAGGGGCCTGCGGAGCCAGGATTAACCTGGCTCCGCTACCAATATTGGTAGCACCCAATCACCGCGCGAACCCTGTCGCGCCTATCCTTTTGTTTCCCTTGTGGCCGTAAATGTGCCTGCACGTGGCACGTGACCCATGGATATGGTACATGATGCGAATGGCACTGCATCAACATATATATATAATATATCTATATCGCATCCCTTTATCTCTATCTCTCTCTCTCTCTATCTCTCTATCTCCCTATCTTTCTAGCTCTCTATCTTTCTATCCCTCTATCTTTCTATCTTTTTATCTTTCTATCTCTCTATCTCTCTCTATCTCTCTCTATCTCTCTTTATCTCTCTCTATCTCTCTCTATCTCTCTTTATCTCTCTATCTTTCTCTATCTCTCTATCTCTCTATATCTATATCTCTATATTTCCATCTCTGTATTTGTTTGCATCCATCCATCCATCGATCTATCTGTCTATTTGTCTCTCTATGCACATGCATATGCATGTGGATGTCTATGAGTATGTGTACGTGTATGTATATATAGTAAATAGATGTGTATATATATATATAGTTAAATGTCTATGTATCTGTATATATGTATATGTATGTGTATGTGTATATGTAGATGTATGTGTACGGTGTATGTGTATGTGTACGGTGTATGTGTATGTGTACGGTGTATGTGTATATATATATATATCTCTATGCACAACATACAGACAATGGTTTCAAACTACAAAGATGCAGGCTCATGCAGACTCTTTGTTCTTTGTTCTGGCTAGGTACATGGCTCCGCGGCGCGGTGGAGCCGGAGGAGCTGGAGTGGAAGCCACATCCAGTAGTTTGGGGCAAAGAACATTTTTTGTGTATTCAAATTTAGGACATTTGTTATGTTTGATACTTTCCAGTGTGCGATGACACGGCATGTCAAAGATAGGTTCTGTCAGTTCGAGTAGACATATCATGCAATGACTGACAAATCATAGGAATGAGTCTGAGGTTTGCGTGGCGGGTTGGCACCACCACCCTTGAAGCGAATACAACCTTGGTTGGAGGAGACTTGAGAGGTCTTCCAACAAAACATGAGAAAACATGTCAGTGTTTGAAAAAAAATAGTCCGACTGCAGTGACTGCAGGATGGATCCGGTCAGTGCGATATTGTAGCTGGTGGAGTGGATGCCACTGGTGTCTTCAAAGGGATATATGTGCCTTGGACTTGAGAAGGCGCTGCTTGTGCGGAGGAGAACTGTGGAAAATGGACCCATAAAACACAGTCTCAAAAAAATTTGAGATGTTTTGAGTAGCCTTCAGATATCTCCAGATTCTAATGATTCTAGAGCCTTTTCAGCTTGAGAACTGTGGAGCACGCAACAGCTGTCACCAATCATCTTTTTTAAGAATGAGGTTAGCGGTGTACACCTAGCTGCGCTGCCTCTGCCTGAGACGGTTTGGTACAGGAGTAGCAGGTATTTTTTCCGATTTTTTTCATTTCTTGGCTCAACTCAACTTGACTCCCCATTCCCCGCATCCTCAGGTTGCGAACGTTCCAGCTGTCAAAAATTTTTCTTCCGGTGGAAATGCCCACGCCAGTGCAGGCTCTAGGACTGAGCATGTTCTGTTCAGTTCATTGATTTTTGATGATCTTCCCATATTCAAATATTCTTGTTGCTGTATGTTTTGAACGGCCATCCTGAGAATCCGTAAAGGACAGTCTCTTCAAGATGGCGTCCCCCTAGTTATAGTGACAAGGGGCTGTTTCGGAAGAGAGATGGATATTGCGCCAGCACCTCAGGCACTGTAGACATCATTTGTTGATGTTGATGCAATGTCCATGATTCACCTGTGGACAGTTTGTGGCTTCTGCTGCGAGGTCATACAGTAGCGTATATATGTATATATTAATATCTATATATAAATATAAATATAAGTATAATTAAAAATATAGATAAAAATAGAACTATAGATATAGATATAGGTATAGATATAGATACAGATATAAACATAAATATAAATATAGATATAAATATACATGTAAATATAAATGTAAATAGGGCTATAAATAAAAATAAAAAAATAAATATAAATATAACAATATAAATACAGATATAAATATAACAATAAATAAATGAATAAATAAATAAATAAATATATATATATATGCATGTATACACTTGATTTGAAAGCCGATCTGTTCCTAATGGCCTGTGTTTGCATCATCAGACACAGAACAGCAAGGAATGCTGCGTGAACCAGCCTGGTTTTACTGTACCTGTGTGAATATACAAAGAGTGTTTATTTTGTGGTCAAACAGTTGGATCTTAGTCCTCTCAGCGTGTTGGTTTCCAAGCTGCATGATAACGTCATATGAAAGCGATTCAGGAATGTGGGTTATGTCTAATTTAGCAGCCAATCGAAGCCATTTACGAGTGGTTGCGTCTTGCAACTTGCAGCTGCGAGGTTGGTGTCATATTTCAGATTCAAGTTTATTGGTGTGTTTGGTCGAAGCGACAAGCGTTGCATATCAAACTGCCGGATCAATTGAAGATGTGGTCATAGACTTATCTCAGCAGGAGATCTGGCAAACATTTGAGAAAAGGTCAGGTGTAAAAACTGTTATATACTATATTGGACCAAGCCGTCCGGACGCCTCACTATGTTCCTCTGATGAGCTTTTGGACTTTGTTGAACTCTGTTAACACGATTTTCAGCACTTTGGTCCTCAGCACCCTGAGGTCTGGCCCCGCTCGCAACAGCATTCAAAAGGTTGGAGCATTCCCTTTCGCTCGCCAAAGAGTCGAGTAGGATGCTTCTCAATGGGGTCAATGGTAATCCTTCAATTGGGGAAGCAATGAAAGTAATAAGGTCACAAGTGTCCTGCAAGGCAGTGTGGGAAGCTGCTCGAAACATGCGAGCCGACATGTCGTTGCCTCAGGTGCATATCCGTGGTACTTTCTGAAAGAGTTTTGTATGGACCTTCAAATTTTGGGTCAGTTTCCATGTGTGACCTAGCTGTGACTAGCTTGTCTGCATGAACACAATTCACACATACAAACGAAGACGAGGAAACCATTTCTAGCAAGATGATTCAGACAAGAAAGTTTGACGAAGTTGCTTCTGGAGCTTTGTTTGCTGGGGGTCAACTCCCTGGAGAGTGCACGTTTCGCCATGGGTCCTATACCCCCCCCAGACCCCCCGCCTGAAATCACAGGTTGGGAAATGAGTTGGCTGTTTGAGACTACTTTTCGCAAGGTTGGTTTAAACAAGGAGCCAAAACATCATTCGGATTCTATTGCAGCTCACCGAAGCCCCCACTGAGCCCTTACTAAAGCCTTACTAAGGCCTTACTAAGGCCTTACTAAGCCACTGCTGCGTGTTTACTGAAACTCCTGAGACGTTTTTTCTTAGAGGATCCTGTTCCTCTTTTCCGCCTTCACCACTTTTCGCAAACACATGAAGTCTTACTAAGGAGTCCAGGGTACTTAGTAAGCATTCCTGACCTGGGTAAGTGGCTAGGAAGTAGATCCTAAGGTGTAAAGGCTGCCATGATTTCGCAGACCCCACTTATTTATCTTATTTCAATTATCGCGTCACTTGGATCTTGTTTGTGACACAGCTTTCCACCGCAGATACCTTTGTATGAAAATCATTCCAAGAACCTAAGGTAGAGTGGTCTATAGGGGTCTTGTTTCCTTCCCACAGACACAAGTGCCAAAGAGGAGGAAGGGTCATAGCAAAGAAGTGACTCGATCTGCAAACCACATGAAAGGCTGTCCAGTACTTTGTTCATGCCTCTTTAGTTTTTACTGCATGTTCTCATTCAATGTTTCATTTGAGGCCGCAAGTGCTTGTAACCTGCATCGACATCCCCGTGGACGCAGGGCCTGAGGTATGGCTATGTCTTACGCAGCAAATGAGTATGAGTGCTGTATCCTTTAAAGGTCGGAACGCAATACAATGCAATTCATAGATGGTATGAGCCACCAGGAATCAGTACTGATCAGTACTGTATCCCTTGTTTTGTGTTTGAGTCGGTGAGGTGGTGAATGCTTGCCTACAGCCACCTCTCAACGATTTCCGCGAGTTGATGTATCATGTTGCTCAGTCGAACTTGTTTAGAGAGCCTGTTGAAGACATTTGCAACTCACTCTTTCGGCACTTGGAAAAGCCGGTGACACTGTTTGCCTCGCTGCTTTGCAAGGATGGTACTTGGTACACTCCAGCAGTCTACAATGCGCAACAAGCTTACCTTCCAGCGGCATGCATGGAGTGTTCAGAGTTGGAATACACATGGAAATAAGCAGAGACAGAATGAAGGTGCACCTCCACTCACCTCGAAAGATTTTTTCCCGAATGCGTAGCGAAGGGTTTCCGTTTATAGTCTGGGGGTTTGGGGGCTGGACCCTTGTTCGCCTCGAGTGGCTCGTCGGGTCGTCGTCGCGTCGTCGTGGCGTCGTTAATTCCGTGTCTAGAAGCTGCAAAACCTCTCCTTTTCGAAGGTTTCCACGCAGGTTGTCATGTCGTTTTGCGTGGCAGGTGTGGCACGTTGTGACATTCCAACCTGTTTGATAACGTGTCGAAAGCTTCAAAATTGGAGGAAGTCGCATGAAATGCTCGTTTTGCTGCGCCCGCGTGTCTCGTCTCCATTCTCTGGTTTTCCTGTGGCGTCGCCGTGTCTATAGGGGAAGCTGCAAAACCTCTCCTTTTCAAATGCTTCCAAGCAGGTTGTCGTGTCAATTTGTAGTACAAAGTAGTACTGGGAAGTGCTTTGTGCAATCTTTGTGGTACAAAGTAGTATTGGGAAGTGGTGCAAGCTTTGTAGTACAAAGTAGTACTGGGAAGTGCTTTGTGCAAGCTTTGTTGTACACAGTACTACTGGGAAGTGCTTTGCGCAAGCTTTGTAGCACAAAGTAGTACTGAAAAGTAGTTTCTGCACACTTTGTAGTACACAGTACTTGTAGTACTGGGACGTGCTTTGTGCAAGCTTTGTAGTACAAAGTAGTACTGGGAACGACTTTGTGCAAGCTTTGTAGTAGAAAGTAGTACCGGGAAGTACTCTGTGCAAGCTTTGTAGTACAAAGTCGTGCTGGGAAGTAGTTTCTGCAAGCTGTGTAGTACAACGCAATACTGGGAAGTGCTTTGTGCAAGCTTTGTGGTACAAAGTAGTATTGGGAAGTGGTGCAAGCTTTGTAGTACAAAGTAGTACTGGGAAGTGCTTTGTGCAAGCTTTGTAGTACAAAGTAGTCCTGGGAAGTAGTTTCTGCAAGGTTTGTAGTACAAAGTAGTACTGGGAAGTGCTTTGTGCAAGCTTTGTGGTACAAAGTAGTACTGGGAAGTGCTTTGTGCAAGCTCTGTAGTACAAAGTAGTACTGGAACCTGGCTTGGGCAAGCTTTGTAGTACAAAGTAGTCCTGAGAAGTAGTTTGCGCAAACTTTGTAGTACAAAGAAGTGCTGGGAAGTACTTTGTGCAAGCTTTGTAGTACAAAGTAGTACTGGGAAGGACTTTGTTCAAGCTTTGTAGTACAAAGTGGTACTGGGAAGTAGTTTCTGCTTGCTTTGTAGTACACAGTAGTACTGGGACGTGCTTTGTGCAAGCTTTGTAGTACAAAGTAGTACTGGGAAGTCCTTTGTGCAAGCTTTGTAGTACAAAGTGGTACTGAAACGTGCTTTGTGCAAGCTTTGTGGTACAAAGTAGTGCTGGGAAGTGCTTTGTGCAAGCTTTGTAGTACAAAGTAGTACTGGGAAGGACTTTGTGCAAGCTTTGTAGTACAAAGTAGTACTGGGAAGTCGTTTCTGCAAGCTTTGTAGTACACAGTAGTACTGGGAAGTAGTTTGTGCAAGCTGTGTAGCACAAAGTAGTACTGGGAAGTTCTTTGTGCAAGCTTTGTAGTACAAAGTAGTACTGGAACGTGGCTTGGGCAAGCTTTGTAGTACAAAGTAGTCCTGGGAAGTAGTTTCTGCAAGGTTTGTAGTGCAAAGTAGTACTGGGAAGTGCTTTGTGCAAGCTTTGTGGTACAAAGTAGTACTGGGAAGTGCTTTGTGCAAGCTCTGTAGTACAAAGTAGTACTGGAACGTGGCTTGGGCAAGCTTTGTAGTACAAAGTAGTCCTGGGAAGTAGTTTCTGCAAGCTTTGTAGTGCAAAGTAGTGCTGGGAAGTGCTTTGTGCAAGCTTTGTGGTACAAAGTACTACTGGGAAGTATTTTGTGCAAGGTTTGTAGTACAAAGTAGTACTGGGAACGACTTGTGCAAACTTTGTAGTACAAAGTAGTCCTGGGAAGTAGTTTCTGCAAGATTTGTAGTACAAAGTAGTACTGGGAAGTGCTTTGTGCAAGCTTTGTGGTACAAAGTAGTACTGGGAAGTATTTGGTGCAAACTTTGTAGTACAAAGTAGTACTGGGAAGTCTTACACTTTACACTCTACACTCCACACTTTACACACTCTACACTCCCCACTCCACACTCCTTACTTTATACTCCACACTCCACACTCTACACTTTCCACTCCACACTCCACACTCTACACTTTCCACTCCACACTGCAGACTGGTAACAGGGGAAATATGTACTGTCTTCAAGCGATGTTTCCATGCGTGTCTTTGTGTGTTAGTTGTCTCTTTGTGAACTGTTGATCAGGCGCATTCGCTGAGACGATATGCGCGCACAATGCATGAAAAAACAGGTTCGTTTTCCTATTGCAGAGGTTTTCACTCGTAGTCCAAGAACGTGAATACATTCGGGTTCGTGGCTTCCATATTTTTTTTAAAATCAACCTGTGGTGCCTGAGATCTAGAGTGCGCAAATGTTGAGGTCAAAGCTTGCGCAGTGGGTCTCCAACAATCCGAGAGAAACCAAGCCGAAAGAAGGACGCAGACTTTGCCCTGTGCGTGTGAAAGAGATGCGCGGTTCGACGCCACCTTTGCAAGGACCTAGTTTTTCTCGAAAAAAATTCGAGTGGAACAGCAAACCGTGCGCCAACGCTTGAAGTCATGAGAGCGCGACTGAGACAGATGTGATTTTTCGAACATTTTTGTCAACCGGCAGCAGAAATGATGATGGATTTGCTGCCGCTAGCCCTTCCCATCCGTTGAAAGAATACCTGAACTGACGAATCTTCAACCATATGCAAGCTGTTTCTGAATGTACACAAGACCTCCGTGTCTTGTGTCTATGTGTTTCTTTTGTCTGGCATCCCGATGAAGTGGCAAAATCTGCAAGAAGTGGAAAGTATGATTTCAGCTTGTCATGTTTGTTGCCGTTGCACACACAAAATTGAGCAACAGACAGTTCTCCAAACCCTAAAAGGCTTTCGGGATTGTCCTTCTTCATTTCCTTTCTAGCTGAAGGAAGTCTAGCAGGAAGCTTCAAAGATCTAGTGCAGTCACAACGGGTAAGTGAAGCAACGCCCATGAGAGCGTTTGGCAGGGCTAGGGGAACCAAATTCGAGAGTGTCTTACAGGAAGAAAGCGAAGCAGTTTTGTCAGCTTTGTCCATGGTCATGTTCACATTATGTACATGGTCTCTGCAAAAGTACCTCTGAATCTCTGCCTTCAAGTGTTATGCATGCAAAATTCAAAGGGTATTAGGCATGAATGAGTGTACGTTGTGCTGAAAAATTTTGCATCCCCACAAATCAAAGGCTCTGTGTTGAGCTCAAAGGATGTGTGTTTGAGGTCAGTGACTCTGTTTGTGAAGTCGTGACACAAATCCCCTTTGCATCATGAGTTACATGAAATGTCAGATGTTTATGGATAGGATAAGCAGAGTACAGATAGCAATAATGTGCAACAGGTGAAAAGTTTCATTGTGACGTGCCTGCCAGGTATGAGAACATGTTTTTTCTCGGATGGAAGTAGCCGCCTCAGAGCTACGATTCACAGACAGCCACGCAAGTCCATTCTTTGCTACCTAAAAAAATCCAGACTAACGGAACTGCAACTTTTGCAGAAATTGCAGTACTAAGTGGGCCGCAGCTCCTATTCATGTAGTACTTTTATTGAGGCGTAAACACGCCAAGCTTATAGAATCCGAAGGGCTAATCAACCATATGTTGAGGCCAGTGCTTTGTGTTACAAGTCATAGTTTTTTAGAGTCGAAAGTGACCGCGATGCTCTTGAAGTCTTGAGATTAAGTCGCACTAAATAGTGATAGTTTAGTCGCATTTCAGGGCAACAGCATATTTCCTGGCAGGGTGGGCGGGTGCTTTGTGAAATTTGTGGCACTGTACACTATTACTTGTCTTTTATGGGACAGGTCGCCAGTGCTGGGGTCGCAAAACTGGAGTTTTCTTAATCGTCCAGCACGGCGCATCTGCGGATAAATTCTTTTGTGCTCTTTGAGGCACTAGCCGCAAACATTCACATTGCCTTTGCTGTTGACTTTTCCGTTCTCTTTACTTCATGAGACTTTTTACAATTTTCCTTTTCACATAAAACATGACCTTCTACACATTTACAACTACAATTTTTGCCACTTCCACCAGGGAAAAGGTGTGTGGAGGAGTGAAAAACGTGTATCCAAAGCACCATGAAGCACTTCCAGGACCATCATTGTTGAATCGGGACCAGATGTGAGAACTTGAGGAAGGTGTAACTTTTTGTTTTCATTATATGTATATATATATATTATTATATACATCATATTATATATATACATATACATTCTTTTATATTTTCTTGCTGCAGTATGCTGATGCTCTTATAATCTTCTTGTTGCGTTCGAGGTCTATCGAGGTTCAACCGTCTTCAAGGCACCGAGCGCACAATGAAACCACAAATCATCACGTGGTCAAACACTCGTCCAACACTTTTTTGGTGATCACCTGATCCAGGTGATATGAAGTGAATTGAAGAAGTGATCATGAAGCACAGACAGCTGAGACAAAACTGGCTTGAGCCAAGACGGCGCAACGTCAGTTTCTTCAGCCGACATGTCAGCTCAACAGTGTTTCGGTTGGAGGAACCATTGCTATTTTGACAAGTTTCGCAGCCAGCTAGACCTAGTTGTGAAAGAGGGTTGACTGTCAGTTGACTGTCAGTTGACTTACTTATCCCATCTTATCCAATCTTCCGGAGAAGAAAACAGGGCGTGCAGCCAACTAGGGTGCGGTCTGAGGAAGTCTCGCATCCAATAAGACATTTGGAATGCAATCTCTGCAGAAATTGTTCTCAGATTGGGAATTTTGCTGTGTTCAGATCTATTCAGTGTGTTTCATATTTCGTTTGGAAATCTGTGACTGCATGGTCATACATTGCTTGGACTTTTGGCGTTGCATCAGAACCTTCAACCACATGCTATATTTCGATTGCCAAAACATGTCACAGGATCTCTTCCGCCCCTTTCACCCTCAAGCGCAAGCATTGCAAACAATTGCAATATGTTACTATTGAATTATTGCACTCGGTCGTTAGTGGTTCATTGTTAGGTTCTTTGTGTTTTTTTTGAGTTTGTGACGCATTGCGAATCTACAAGGGAGTTCATCCATAGCATTGCATTCGCCTTTCTGCTCAAAGCATCAGAGTTGGAGTTGAATCAGGTCTGTCACAAGGCAAAGGTCCACGCGACATAGCAGAACATGGCCAAAGTTAACCCTTGCATATGCTTTACTTATGATTTGCTGTATTTTACTTATGGCATTTTTGCTTTGCAGGAAGGGCTACACTTCATGCCGAAGATTCTTGTCAAAAACAGAGCATGCCTCTTTTCACTTTCTTTACATTTGCCAAGTACTTGGCTTTGATATGCTTTGATCATGTTTCCTTCGTCGATGTCTTGCAGTCATGTTGTGGAACTGTCGAAGGGTGGTCCTGTGGGTTACTTGTGGCTGTTCCGTGCAGGGTTTCTTATATGTGGAGAAATCCGCATCGCCTATCCGGACTTTCCCTGCCCAAACTACAGCAACTTCTCATGGCAGACCTTGAATGGCCCAGCCGTCACGTGCAAAACATTTTCTTACAAACTGCAGCCCAGGGTGAGCAATCAGAACGGTAACCCACACAAACACACACACAACTACAAGAAGCAAGACAAACAAGCCAAACCAAGAGCAGACGACAACATGGGCGACAACTGCCCAAACGGCAATGGTGATAAGAACAAGAATAGCATGGGCAACAGTATTAGTATACACTACGACAACAGAAACATGGAAACACATCCATTACATAAAATATATATATATATATGTAATATACACACACGGTTTTGACAAATACAAACGATAGGTGCCAGCTCCAAAATTCCGCAAATACCGCACAGAACAGATGTTAAACATCCCCTAAACTACAGGAACACCCACACACACAGACACAAAAAATCTCACCCATTAAACAAGTTTCCTCCCTTGGGCCAACTGCTGCTGAATCCCAGTGGTTTGCCAAAAACGTGAAGAAATACTCCTCTGACAAAGCATGATTCAAACAAATCAAAGAAATTTTGAAAGATTGATACCTTGACTTGATAGAGTGCACTTGGATCAGAAACCGTCTGGACACACACTACAGACACTGCACATCGGAGCCACCCAGCAACAATGATGCTTTAGCATACTTGTACGTTTGAAAAGCCATCGATACAGTTCTGGTGTTGGAAGAAAGTGGTGGGATTTATCTTATGAGAGGCACACTATTAAACTTGGCGTTCACAGGAAAATGTGCAAAGGAATGAATGAAGGAAACTGAAGACGAAGGCAGGCAGCCAAGGACAGTAAAGCAGACGCAAAGGAATGAAACGGAGAGTGAACATTGAAATACAGAAGGCAAGGTCAACCAGGAGACAAGAAGAGAAATCAATGAATCTGGAGCTAGAAAAGCGCTGAATCATCACCCAACAACGTCAAAGGCACAAAAGCCATATCCAGGCACACCTGTTGCTAGCCGTTGACATTTCTAGCCCATTGATCCTGTCTTGAGCAATCCCATGTGCTTTCAGGTCTTGGAGTATGCACTTGCTGCTCTCTACCCTTGTTTCCCTGCCCCTGCCACATGCTCTCTATTTTCCATGTTTTGGGCTCTTAAGTCGATTTGAACTGTTGGCGCAATTCACTGTGGCTTCTGTTTTTGATAGCATTGTGCAATATTGTGCATTATGCTCAAGTGTTGTGGCGGTCTCATTTGGGCAGACTGAACACCCGTTCAACTCGCCAATGGCAGTCCGTGACCATGATGCAAAACTGCTTTCAAGGTCTTTCACTTTTGCTGCACCGTTTGAAGTTAAGTAAGGCCCAGCAACTTTGGGCGATTTAATGACCTAAACTTCACTCTCACAGATGCTCAAAAGGCGCAGTGCTGACCGAGACGGGTTCCGGAAATGTCAGAAGCATATGTGGACGCAGATGCATCCGGGCTTTTGGGCTGACCAGCGACTTCCCAACCATGGCAGGCAGATGGATGGCACTTTCCCATGACCAAAGAACAAGAATGGGACAAGTTCGGCTATGTGGTCAGGGCCCGATTCCCAGACTATTTGAATTCTTTTTGTTCTCTTTATAACTCGCAGAGGGTTGGGATGGGGTGCGTGGGCCTCTCTGATCTGCATGGGTAATCCAGGACCAGACACGGTTCCGCCTGCATGTACAAGATGGATTAGTAGATGTCGTGGAGGACTACCTTGAAACAGAGAAGAAGGACTGAGCCAGCACCCTTTGCATAGGCTAACAGCCTCAGTGAGCCGCACTGCCCAGGATTCTGTGCAACTGGCTCTTCCTTGCATTTTTGACAAGTTCAACACATTGACTATTGAATTGGGCCACTCTTGACCCCCAAAAAACTAGCCCCCCCAATTCAGGATTTGATCGACATCAACCTTGCGGACAAAGATGGCAAAACACCACTCATGGTGAGCTGGCTGATCTTTTGCAGTTTAATTCATAGAGTTAGCTTTCCCCTTGTCCTTGGGCTGTTCGGCATTCATAAAGTTTGACTGGAACATTTCCTGACGAACAAGTCCCACATTTTCCCTGCAACTTGCAGGTTCATAGAGTGGTTTTGTTGGCAATATTTTCGGATGTTCAATTCAAACGGTTTGAAGTGTTTGAAGTGTGAATTGAGTACAAACAAGTCGAGGTAGCAGCGCGGAATGGACATGCAAAGGTGCCTCGGAAAGATCTTTCTCAAGTTGCAGCAGTACCGGCATGGCTTGAGTGCAGAGGTAGTTGCCGCCCTACTGAAAGCAGGGGCTGACATTGGCTTGGTCGACAAATCGGTCAAGGACTGCTGTCAGGATTGATACGCTAAGGCTGCTACGGGTCAGCTTATCCTTACCCCTATAGATATAATTACCGACTACACCAAACTATTGCATTTTTTTTTTTTGTGTGTGTGTGTGCGCGTGTGTGAGCGTTCTTCCTTCACTTCGGTGTCGAGGACCAGAAGGTTACTGCAGTTGAGTATGCCAAGGGATGGCAGGATCCTGAGATCGCTTTGATCAGCCACAACAAAGCAGAAGTTGGCCAGATGGCCTATGATGGCCTTGATCGTGCTACATTTTATTGCTGCATCGCTGGCAGCCGCACAATGCCGCACAGGTTAGCATGGAAGATTGATCATCAACCCTGAAGGAACCCGCAGACTTTCACGGGTCAAAAGATGTCAAACATGTGAACAGTCAGGCACAGACCTCAGCAAATTTAGCGAATGAAATTTGACTACCAGGCCGTACTGGATCCTATAGGTGTATATGTATATATACATATATGTATACGTATACATAACAGGGTTCTATTTTGTCTCGATTGAATGGAGGACTTAAGACCTTTAGGTGTTTGAGCTGCACTGACCTGCACCGGAGAGTGATTGAGAGAGAAGAGAGAGAGAGAGAAGCTTAGGGCACCGTCAGTGTAGAGCCACGGTCCAGGACCAGGTCAAATCGGTAGGATATTTAATAAAGCAATGTTTGCACTTTCAAAGCGTCGTGTCATTGCTGGCGCTTGGACCATTGCTGGAACTGCAGCATGCGCAAAGTTTGTAAGCAACCACCGCAGGTATCGGGACTTGCCCTGTGTGCAACTTGCTCTTGCACAGATGGAGCAGGTGCAGGAGCAGCTTGATTTGGGACCATTGAAGCTTGGCATGTGGCCCAGACAAGGTCATGTGGATTCAAACGCAGGCCTGATGCGAGCAAGCTTCAAGGTCAATGGCACAAAGGGTGTGGCACATGTTTTTGCGAGTGCGAAGAGAGATAAACTTGAAGAGACAGAAACAGATTCTGATGATGGCCATGATGGCTATTATTGGCTGCGACCCTGGGAGCTGAAGAAGACCTTCCTTGACAAGGTACGCTCGATACGTTCTTTTCGACCCGAAGATCAAGATCCTTCGATGTGGAGACTTGAAACATTTGTTGTTTTGCAAGATGGCAAAGACCCTGAGATTATATTTGGCAATCCACTCGGACTGCCTGAGTATGAAGCTGTTTGCTTGCGGCGTGATGGTAGCTCCAAGGATGAGCGTTCCAGACGCAGATTGCACTTTACGGTGGGGATTGCTTTGATTGCGACTGTTCTTGCTGGAGGAGTCCGTGTCTTCAGGTCCCGTCATGTTTGGCAAAGCCATGGCTGTGTGCGGAAGGCGGTGCTGGGTGATCAGAGCGTTCGGACCGTGCTGGGTCCGTCTTACATTGAGTCATGCAGCGGAACTTTCACCCCAACCTATATCAATGCTCAACTCAAGGTGGTTGGTAACGCTGCCGTTGCTGATGTCGTTGTGGCAGCAAGTCGTGACACTACTTGGCAGCATTGGCGCGTTGCTGTTGCTCGAATGAATGTGGGTGGAGTGACTTGCAACCTTGACCTGGCGCTGACGCGTTAGTACCATACTACAAAAGGAACATGGAAAAGTGAAAAGTGGTACAGTCCGAATTCTACCTGTTCAATTTGAGTCAGTTTGCTCCCCTTTAAAAAACATGTCATAGTCATAGTCTAGTCATCGGTTTTCGCATGATCTCGCAGCCGAAGCGCCAGGCCTCATCAAGTAGGCAACGAGAGACGAGATGATTGCTTGGAGATCATATCAGAATTTCTGAGGACATAAAGTAAAGGGCTTGGATGTTGCACTTGAACCAAGTTGAGTCTCAACTCATTGTCATTGTTGGTGATTTGAATCTTTGTTGCTCCTCGCGAGGACTGGCCAAGTCCCAGACATTCTTTCAGTCCCTGAGGCAAGAATGTGAAAGGCATTGAATCAGCCGGAATGAGGCCCTGCCACTGTGAAATGAAAGTCTCCTTGCAAAGAGCCAGAGAGAGAGAGAGAGAGAGAGAGAGAGAGAGAGGGAGAGAGAGTGCGCAGCAGGGGTAGGCTACGGCTGAGCAGAGTCAAGAGTTGCTTCCAGAAATGAGTGCGAAAAAAAGGCCGCCTCTCACTCAATTGAGGTTATTGTCACTTCTTGTCAGAGGTCCTTGACCTTTTGGAACAGACTTCGGTTTGATGGACACTGTCCGCGATTTGAAGTGTGTAATTACTTGTCAGAAGCCACAACAGTGGAAGAAGCAGCATGCAAATCAAGACTCAATGTTGCTTCCAGAAAAGCACGCTTTAGAACTTTAGAACATATGCCCAACTTGTGCTTGAAGCAACCAAGCAAGTACTTCCACAAATTGCAGCCGCGCTCACAGAAAGCGGTGAAACTCACATTTTCCTGGGCACTCCTAAGATGTGCCAGTTCTTGAAGCCAAAGGCTCTAGTTGTGACAAACCAAGAACATGCAGCATAGCTATGCGGCATAGCCCATACATGCTGGATGACTCCATGATGATTTGCTGATTTGTCTTTTTTGGTCCAAATCGCGGGAATGTTTTAAAGCAAATATAAGAAAGCTGCGTCTGTAGCACTGCAATCATTTGTTGTACGACACTACATGTAAGGTAGCGGGTCATTAAGACATATCGGAAGTTGCGGCGTGAAGTGGTTGAAGTCTAGAGGGGATGTCTTTCGGGGATGTTTCAGGATCTTTGTGTTGCAAAGTAGAAGCAATGGTCTCAGCGGCTCATGGTGGGTACAAGGGAAAGCGAGGCTTTCATTCCAGACCGCTCAAGCCACTGTTTGATTGATGCTCTTTCGACGGTTTCGATGGCGGTGCGGTACCTTCTCAACCCTGGGCGGAAATGCATTTTTTGCGAAAAAGGTGCGTAATATTCAACAGGCTGCATCCGGCCCGCCTGCGCACCTAGTCTATGACCCCAGCCAGCTGCCGGATGTTGCTACCTTGCTCCTGGTTGCCAAAAGTGCAGTGTCAAGTGATTTCAAAGACCAGGCTTTTTGGCAGGCTTGTAGTCTGCAAGCTCGAAAGCTCTGTGGCGCCGATGCAAATCTACTTGCCTTAGCCCGCTATGCTGTAGCGGCAGCGACGGTTCACCATCAAGACACCGAGCTTATGAATCTCAGCATTCGATAAACAGCAAAAGTCATGTGTTTAATTTGTTTGTCTTTGATTTGTTTTGCTTTCCTTTGCTTCCATCTCTATTTACTCTATTTCTTCATCGACAATGGAACTCTCTTTGTGATCAAGAAAGTCATGACAGTACGTCGTCTTGCTTGTACTTGTAGTCTCAATTCCGGCTTTATTAAAAGTGAGCTGTTGAACCCCAACACATTTTCATGCTAGGAGGCACACCCTAAGTATTTTTATGATTATTTGATATTATCTATGTGCATACAGTAAGCCGTTCTATCGGTTCCGCATGTCAGAAGCTGTTGAAAAGCACGAGTTCATTTGCGCACAACGAACATCAAGCAGGATCATCGTGTCTCTTGAGACTTGCCAGGTACAACATTGGCGATATGGCGGTTGCGGGAGCAGAGCGCAACTTTCTGGATGCAGAGAGCATTATGCTTATACTTCAATCACATGCTATTCTTGCGTTCCGCAATGATCGAGTGTTGAGAAAATTGGAATTGGTCCTGTTCGAGATGCTGCAACAGTCAAAAGCCACGGCTGCTTGTCTATCCAGCTCTCTCTTGTCGCTGTCTCAGCTTTTCTCTGCATCTGTGCTGCCGGATGTTGACCAGGCATTAGAGTATTCCAGACAAGAACTCATAGACGGAGCAGCACGAGTTTGCCTGGAACATATCTCATTTTTTACCGCTGCTCAACTTTGTGAAGTCTTGGAAGCCATGGCCACATTCAAAGTCCGCGGTGATCGACAAGTCTCAGCGTTGTTTTTTGGAATCGGCAACTCGTTGGCAAGACAGACGAGCACGCTAAGCTCCAAGGATTGTGGGACCATTTCACGCGCCTTTGCAGCTTGCAGGGTCCATGATGAAAAGATTCTATCATCTCTAGCCTTCAGACTGCGCGATAAAGAAGTGCGAAGAGACTTAACGGCTCAAGATCTTGCAAATGTGCTTTATGGCTTTGCGAAATTCACTAGCCAAGACATTGCTTTGTTGGACCTGTTGTCTATAGAAGTCAGGCGCCATTTGCATGCTTTGGATGTCAGGTTGATGAGTTCCACCCTTGCATCACTAGCCAAGTGTGGCGTAAGTTGCCCTGTTCTTACTGGCCGTGCAACCCAAATGCTGCGTCGTCCCGGTCCGAAACTTGAAGCAAATGAAGAGGACAGAGAAGTTCAAAGGGTGTGCAACCTAAGTCTGGGTACATTCAATGAACTGCTGAGTTTGACGATGGCTTTTGCAAAGTTTCAAGTCCGGGACTCAAGGCTGCACGAGAGGCTGGCAGAGTCATTGCTGCAATGTCAGGAGAACGATCAGGCAGCATTAGAATTCCGAACTTGCACGGACCTCGTCAATGTTGTGCATGCTTTTGCAAAGGTGCATCAAGCTCCAATACAATTATTGGGGACGGTGATACGCCTGCTACGGCTGCGACCTCCAGGTGAATTCAGCACTCGAGATGCTGTAAAGTTGCTCCATGCGTTGGCAAAAATCGAGTACACGATTTTGCCAGATGATAAAAAATATATTCTTCTTGCTTTGGGCCCGGAACAACTGAAAGAACTTGGGGTGTTTGAACTCTTGAAACTCGCGGTCGCTGCGCGGAAGCTTGGCTTTGAGCTTCCGTCATTGGAGACGCAGGTTGGTGTTATACTGCCAAATGAACCTCCATTGAAGAGTGACAGTCCACAACGGCGCCCTACCGCAAAGAAGCAAAGAAGAAAGAGCGCACGGAAGCAGAAATGGACTTGGTAGACTGTTGGATTTGATTGACTATGCCGCAAGAGGCAAAGATCCTCTGCAAAAGTGCGCCAGGGTTTGCTTTTTCACGATACATGTTCGTCTCTCGTTATCCAATCGGTCTTTTGACATACATAAAACAAAATAGCGTTCAGCACAAGCTTGACTCGGATTGCTGTCAGTTTCAATCTCGACATATCTCGACAAATCTATATACATTGTTCAAGCAAGGGTCAGTCCTTGCCAGATCATGGTGCTGAGGATTATCTAGGTTTTCCTCTGTATTGTGTTAAAAGAATGCAGCGATGTCGGCTCAAGAGCCTAGCGTATTGGCAGAATGAACATCATCAGCCACAAAGAGCTTGCCAAGCACAATGGTGATGGGGATGTGTGGATGGCCATACATGGTGTGGTCTACGATGTGTCTAATTTCATGCACGAGCATCCAGGCGGTTGGAAACTCGGTTGGCGGTTTTCTTGGTTTAAACAGTTTGGACTTGTCTTGCTGAGCATGCGGTGGGGTGGACACAGAAGATTTTGCGAGCACAGTACGCATATGAACGTCATGACATTAAGAATGACATTTCCAAGGTTCACAATTGCTCGAGGATGTAGCAGGAAGAGATGCGTCTCTTGAGTTTGAGGCCCGAATGTTGTCAATCTTAGGGACCTATGCAAGATGCATCATGATGATCCATGATCATCCATGATGAACCTGTGGAACCTGGCCATGAGAGGATGCATTGCATTCAGATGCAGCTCGCAAAGAAGAGAAGTTGGAACTCAAAGGATTCCTTGAAGGATCAGAAGAGCAGGTCGATTGAGTCAGTGGTGCATCTTATCCGCTGTACCCATACATGAAGTATATGAAATTACTTTACTTCGAGTGATCCCCACCAACGGACATATATTCTAACATTCTATGTGAATCTATGTGACATATATTCTGTCTCACATTCTAGCTGAGATTTTATCTTGCATTTCCGGTCTGGGCAAGGCCCACAGACTCTGCAAGCTTGTGATAATGTTCAGGGTCGGGCAAGGCTCAGAGAGTCTGCAAGCTCGCGATAGTCTGGTGAGCCGCAAGGAGATTGCGAGCTTGCTGTAGCCAGCTTGCTGTGAGAGAAAGCAGAGCGGAGGAGAAGGATGCGGAAGAGGAGGGAGGAAGGAGAAGCTAACACAAAACCTGGAGACCCTCACTTGGCGGGTAAACAGCATATTCCTGATCATACGTGTGCGAAGCTGTTTGGTCTTGAATTTTGAAGACACACACAGTGCCAACTCTTTTCGGGCATGAACAACATAATTTGCTTGCTTTTGCCGTGCTGTAGTCTCCGGAAGTTGAGAAGCTTGCAAGTCTAAGCTGAGCAACGGGTCTTAGCCGGATTTTCAGGTCCAAAAGTTTCGCGAATCTGGCTGGGACGAAGGGCAAGGAATTCCTGACCCAGAGGCAAGGCGTGAGACATGAGCAAATAGGCTGACAAAGCCGCCTCGTAGTTGAGCATTGCATGGTTGAAATGAAAGAGTTCCGCATTTTTGAATACAATCTGCTGGTAGGGTAAGGTTGGGCAAGGTGCGACAAGAAATGTTTCGCAGGGGTGTTTGGGTGGGCGCAGTCACTTCACTTGCAAGAGCTCTTGAGAAATTCGACTTACCGCGCTAAATGTGTTCGTTTTGACAGTGCAAGAGGTGCCTGTTGGGGAGGTATCCTGAATCCGAACTTGGGCTTGGTGGGAAGCTTTCGTACGCTGACGTCGCATGTGGGGTTTTGTGACACTCGTTGCATGACACACACGCACACACAGACACACACACACACACGCAGGGTCTCGTCACTTTAATTTATCCCTCCTTTCATGTGTGCGGGCTAAACATTTTTCAAGTTTCTTCTCAACTATCGTTGGTAGGACTGCTTGAAACTATTACCCCTTCCCTTGGGCCAGGCATGTAGCATCATGTAGCATTCATGCAGCAAAACATATGAAAAGGAGTCTTGAGGTTTCCACTGATTGCGCAATAGTAAAACGGAACCGACCCAGGTGAATGCATAGCTGGCATAGCTAGATTCAACTTAAGCTTTGCATGGCGCCAGCTGCAGCTCACTCTATGCCTGTGACAGCATAGAGATATTAAACGTGCCAGCGAGCGAGTAAGAAAAACATGGCGCCTGTCCGAAATGTGTGAGTACGCCTCTGCCAGTTTCCAAAATTGGGAAGGTTGTAGGCGGGTGAGTTCGACCACAATAGTATCCATACTTGAGATCGAACCTGACAATGGTCATCGGCCCCGCGGGAATATCTCGAATCTCGGATCTCGGATCTCGAATCTCGGATCTCGGATCTCGCATCTCGGATCTCGAATCTCGAATCTCGGATCTCGGATCTCGGATCTCGGATCTCGGATCTCGGATCTCGGATCTCGGATCTCGGATCTCGAATCTCGGATCTCGGATCTCGGATCTCGATCTCGAATCTCGGATCTCGGATCTCGGATCTCGACTCTCGGATCTCGGATCTCGGATCTCGGATCTCGGATCTCGGATCTCGGATCTCGGATCTCGGATCTCGAATCTCGGATCTCGGATCTCGGATCTTGGATCTCGGATCTCGGATCTCGGATCTCGGATCTCGGATCTCGAGTCTCGGATCTCGAATCTCGGACCTCGGATCTCGAATCTCGGATCTCGAATCTCGGACCTCGGATCTCGGATCTCGGATCTCGGATCTCGAATCTCGGATCTCGGATCTCGATCGAATCTCGGATCTCGGATCTCGGATCTCGACTCTCGGATCTCGGATCTCGGATCTCGGATCTCGAATCTCGGATCTCGGATCTCGAATCGGGGATCTCGGATCTTGGATCTCGAATCTCGAATCCAGAATCTCGAATCTCGGATCTTGAATCTGGAATCTCGGATTTGGAATTTCGATACTTGGGACTAAAAGAAGAGACTCCAAACGTTCTTGCCAGGAACTTGCAGAAGAGATACCAGTTTTTAGATTCTGCAAATTCCCTGGCGAAGATCTTGTCTGTAGCACACATCGTGTGCAAGATCTTCGTGGCAGCTTCTGTAGAAGCTGCTGTGCAAGATCCCTTTGCAAAGTTTTGCATGGCTATTTGTACAAGGTGTCTACAAGAGATCTCCACGCAAGATGTCTGTAAATGTCTGTAAGCTAAGTAAGATCTCTGCTCAAGCTCTCTAATCTCTCTAGAAGAGATCTCTTAGCAAGATCTCTGTTTTCTGCAGGCCTCCGTACCAGTAGTACCGCACAAGGCGGTGGCGGAAGTTTCAAAAATAGGAAACCTATAGGAGAGATTGGTTGTTGTGAATCACGGATGGCAGAGCGAATCCACTGATGGACTGAAAGGTGGTTGGAGCTGTGTTTTTTGGGAGTGGCTGCAATGGTTGCAGTGGTCACCTGGTCGGTCACTTCACCCTGGATGTAGTGTGGTGTGGTGCAGCTGTAATTGTAATTTTAATGTAGTGGGGATGTAGTTGTGGCGTAGTGTAATTAATGTAGTGTAGTTGCAGCTTGTAGTGTAGTTGCAGTTGCGTTTGTGGTGGTGTAATGGGTGTAATGTAATGTCATGTAATGTAATGCATTGTGGGGTAGGGTAGGGTAGCGTAGTGTAGTGTAATTGAATGTGGTGTGGTGTGGTGTAGTGTAGTGTAATGCAATTAGTGTAGTGTAGCGTAGCATAGTGTAGTGTAGTGTGGTGTGTTGTGTAGTGTAGTGTGGTGTAATGCAATTAGTGTAGTGTAGTTGCAGTTGAAGTTGTAGTTGTAGTCGCAGTTGTAGCTGAAGTTGTAGTTGTAATGTAGTGTTATGTAATGTATTGCAGTTGCAATTGTAATTGTAGGTGTAGTTGTAGTTGTAGTTAGTGTAGTGTAGTGTAGCGTAGCGTAGCGTAGCGTAGGGTAGGGTAGTGTAGTGTAGTGTGGTGTGGTGTGGTGTAGTGTAGTGTAGTCTTAGGTAGTTGTAGTTGTAGTTCGTATTAGTGTGACGTAGTGTAATGTAGTGTAGTTTAGTGTAATGCCATTAGCGTAGGGCAATGTAAGGTAGTGTAGTTGCAGTTGCAGTTGTAGTTGTAGGTGTGGTGCAGTGTCATTCTGCGTAGTGTAGTGTAGTGTAGTATAGTATAGTATAGTATAGTATAGTATAGTGTAGTGTAATTAGTGTAGTGTAGTGCAGCGTAGTGTAAATGTAGTATTGTTGTAGTTGTAGTTGTAGTTGTAGTCGTACTTGTAGTTGTAGTTGTAGTTGTAGTTAGTGTAGTGTAGTGTAGTGTAGTGGAATGTAGTGTAGTGTAGTGTAGTGTAATGTAGTGTAATGTAATTGATTGTAACTGAGTGCAATTGAGTGTAGTGGAGTGGAGTGTAGCGTAGTGTAGTGGAATGTAGTGAAGGTGTAGTTGTAGTTGTAGTGTATTGTATTGGAGTGTAGTGTAGTGGTGCTTGTAGTTGAAAATGCTACAAAACCCTCACGTTTAGCTCACTTTTGACATGGTGCACAATCCCTTGCGCCTGCCACGCGAAACGACATCTGAACGTCCAAAAGTGGTCCGAACCCCTGGTGTTTTGAACATTTTGACTTCGAAATGTGCCTCGCGCCACAGCAGCGTGCACTTTTTCGACATCGCAACTTCCAAAAGTGCTCCGATGCTGAAGTGTTTTTAGCTTTTTCACTTGCAAATGTGCTTCGCACCACAACGGCGTGCACTTTTTCATCTCTCATCTGACCAGCTGGCTCCGCACCCGCCGCTTTAGCGAGCCTACTTTTCGACCCGCCGGAGCCACAAATCATTGGAAAAACACAGTGCTTCGCGCCTTTCCTACCTTTTCGCGCACCTGCAACTTCTTTCTTCTGACTCTTTCTCTTCTCTGGTCTTCTCTCTTCTACTCTTCTCTTCTCTCTGACTCTTCCCATCTTTGCTTTTCATCTGTCCATATTGTCGGAAGTTTGACTTCCGTTTGACTTCTAAACTTTACAAAAGGTCGTCTCTTGGCAAGACCTCGTACAAGCTCTCTGAAAAACATATCTCGACAAGCTATCTCGACAAGCTCTGTTTAGGAGATCCTTT